GTAGATTTTCGACTTGTCCAGCTGTCTGTTTATGCCCGGAAGACGATAATTTCCAGCGGATTCCCACAATCTTCGCTACCTCGTCTGTGAAGTCCGAAGCGAACTGGGGACCTCTATCGCTGATGATTTCCTGTGGTAATCCGAGGACTCTATAGGGTCCGCTGTAATACATCTGTGCTGCATCTTCGCTAGTGACGTCCTTGTGGCAGGGGGTACACCATGACAGTTTGCTCAGTCTGTCGATAATCGTGAACAAGTTGTCGAAGCCGAACTTATCCTTAGGCATCTCTTTAAAGTCCATCACGAGCGAGCTCCAGGTCCGTAGCGGCGCTGGTATTGGGTGTAGCAGACCGGGGGTCTTATCGTGCGGCGTCTTAGCTGACTTGCATTTGCAGTTGGCCACGAATCTGTCGATATCAGCCCCCATTCCTGCCCACCAGTATAGACCTTTCACAAGTCTCCTGGTTTTATTCCGGCCAGGGTGGGCTGTAGGGAGACGGGAGTGGATGTCGTCTATTAGTCTTTGTACGTATGTTGTTTTCGTCGGGGACTACAAGAGCTCCGTCTCGCAGCAGTAACCCTTTGTCCGTAATTGACAATCTAGTCTCCCCTTCTAAGAGGGCCCGTTGGCGGTAGATTGATAAGGAGTCGCTAGTCCGGTTGGCGTGGATCAGCTGGTCTACCAGTTCGTATCCTGATATAGCGGGGGGCTCCTCCTTCGTATTGATGGGGCCAATATCCTCTTCGGTCGCGTGAATTAGTGCTAATGCCGAGGTAATTTCCTGGACAAGGGCAACGCAGTCTAATGACATAACTAGGCTACCGTCAGCCTGTTCCTGGAACATTTGGAATGTCCGGTGTGCCCTCTGGCGCTCCTTCTGCGTCTTCAGCTCGTGGGTGCGTCTAGTCAATGCGTCAGCGGCGGCATTCAGCGCCCCTGGTCGGAAATGGATACGGAAGTGGAAGTCGGCCATTTCTTCGGCCCACCCGGCTTGGCGGATATTGAGAAGTTTCTTAGTTGCGAAGTACTTCAGGGCGTCATTGTCCGATAGTACTGTGAATGGCTCTTCGCGTTGCAGACCGATTAGTTCGCTTCTCCAGTGCTGTAAGGCTCGGACGATGGCTAGTAGTTCTTTATCGTGGATGAAGTAGTTAAGCTCAGCTCCCTTCATCATCTCGGAGAAGAAAGCCACAGGGTGCCATTCTTCCCCGTATTTCTGGCTCATGACTCCGGCGACTACCCCTCCCGAGGCGTCGGTCTCAATACGGGTCTCGCGGCCGTATTCGAAGTACTTCAGTACCGGTGCTGACACTAAGCGGTTTTTTAGTTCATCGAACGCGACCTGGCAGTCATCTGCCCAGATGAATGCCTCTCCTTTCTTTGCCAGGGCCGTAAGTGGTTTTGCAATCTCGCTATAGCCTCGAACGAATCGTCGGTAGAAGTTGCAGAAGCCTAGGAACGATTGGAGTCCCTTAAGGGTATCTGGCTCTGGCCAATCTCTGACAATATCTGTTTTAGAGGGGTCGACAGCTACACCGTCAACGCCGATAATGAATCCCAGATACTTCGTTTCTCTAACGTGGAACCCGCATTTGTCGATGTCGGCTTGTAACCCGGCCTCCCGGAGCCGTTGCAAGACTCGTCGGACGTGTTCGATATGTTCCTCTTCCGACTGGGAGTATATGAGGATATCGTCCAAGTATGCACTACAGAAGTCATCGAGGTACCCTAACAGGCAATCATTGATGAACCTCTGGAAGGTAGCGGGGCCGTTTGTCAATCCGAACGGCATCACTTTATAGCTATATGTGCCATATCGTGTACGGAACGTGGTTAGTTCTTCGTCGTCTGGGTGGATACGAACACGGTGGAACGCTTGTCTGATATCGATCTTGGAGAATATCTTCGCTTTACCCAATCGGTTCAGCGTCTCATCGATCAGAGGGAGCGGCATACGATCCTTGATAGTAAGTGCGTTCAACTTTCTATAGTCGACACAGAATCGGAGGCCACCGTTTTGTTTTCGGGTGAATAGGATTGGGGCTGCCCACGGCGTCCCACTGGTATGTATGAATCCCTTCCTCAGGGCCTCAGTAATGTAATCCTTACAAGCTTCCAGTTCTTCCAACGACATCTTGTATAGTGGGCTGTAGCCTAAGTTCTCTGGCGCCTTTCCCGGTATCAGTCGGATCTTATGGTCAATCGCGCCCCTTTGGGGGGCGAGAATGTCGGATTGTACCTTGCTAAAAACGTCAAGGAAATCGTGATATGGTGCGGGGAGCTCTCGTATGACGCGCTCTCTCAGCTTCTCGTCGTCTTCGTCGAGACCATGGGTTCCGTCCTGCTCCCTCAGCTCCTTGATACGTTTATCAAGCTCGTGCAGCGTCATCACATCGACTTGCTCTCCCTCTGCGGATAGTTTGAAGGCTGCCTCGCTCAGTACGGCCATCTCGATAGGTCTCTCTTTGTACTAACCAATGCCATCTCGCTGCATGCGGTATGGGCCTTGTGCATCGTGTTTCGGAAAGGGGTTCTGCTTTTTCTGAAGTAGGGGTACCTTTTTGGGGGTTTCGGCGTGAAGTTCCCGCTCCATCTGGTTGATATCCCGTTCGAGGCGGCCTCCGTTTAGGAGACGGGTTGGCTTCTGGATAATGGTAGGGCGGGATGCCGATGTTGCCATAACGGTTGTTGGTTCTGGTTCTCGAGGGTCGTGGACGGTATATTCTGCGTTCCTCTGTCGTTCGAGTTCGTCGACTCGTGCCCGTATTAGTCTGCCGTCTCGTCGTCGTTTATCCTCTTTTTCCATTGCGAGATTCCGTCGATGCATGTCTTCCTGATGCACTGGATTTGGTTTGCTAGTATCTGTATGGTCCATCGGTATAGTGGTCCACCAACTAGGGTCCGGTTCCCATTCCTCGGGGAATAGTAACCGGTGACGTCGAGCATCGGCGAGTACATCGTGGTAGTCTAGCCATTTACGGCCAATCATCATGTCGTGGATGCAATCAACTATACCTGCCTTCTCTCACATAGCACTTAAGGCGTCCGAAATGAAAGATCTTCAGTGGGGGGAACTCAGAATCATCCCTACAGCCGATGGACAGGTATCTCTTCTTTCTAGCTTATCTCCGGCTTCTTTATAATTTGTCTAATAAGTTTCCCGTGTTTTAGGTTAACCAGTTTGCGTAGAAAGATAATGCTGCCGTTCTTGCGCTCTCGACCGTACACGACGGCATGTGAGAGAAGGTAGGTACGCCGGATCAAGGTGGTCACAATGAAGGTAACAAGAAGTGTGAGCAATGACTGGTATTGGGGGAAGACTTCAACCTGGCCCTCGCAAAGGAAGGGGGCGAGGGCTACTTATTTATATATATGCTCAGGAGCTCAGTCCTGCATGTGCTTGTGAAAGCTTGTGGGTTGTGGCGCCTTAGCGTGGCTTAGTGGCTTGTGCTAGCGGTAGTGGCCTGGCTAGTTGGTGCTCTTCCTTTACACGGCACTAGTGACATCATACGCAACTGACGCCGCCTAAATGCTTCATCTACTGCTGGACGGGCTGCTCGCAAGGTATTCGGGGCTGACGCCCGGAAAGAACTGCTGATCCCGAGTTTCATCGACGAGTATAATCATTATATCAACGGCGTTGACGTTGGGGATCAGATGAGGGCGTATTACGCTTCGGGGCGGTCGATTCGGCGGGGCGGATGGCAGGCCCTCGCGTGGGATTACTTACTAAACGTCGTTACGGTGAATATCTTCATTTTACAAGACCAAGGGGAGCCCAACTGGGATCGTGCCGCCAGTCATCTAGAATGGTGGCAGCTACTTTCTGAACAGCTAATTGGAACCTTTGGGCCATAAGTCCAGACGCGGAAGCAGGCTCGGGCTGGCATACCATTGGACAACCGGAATGAAACTATTCCCGTTGAGCAGCATGAATTCGTACATCGCGGCAAGCTCTCACGCTGCGTCATTTGCTCGAAAGGGGCCCGTCACAAGAGCCAGGCTCTTGGGGAAGTATCGGGAAATGTGCAGCGCAAAATGACGAGGAAGAGCTGCCGCCAGTGTGATGTAGCTGTCTGTTGCACGCGATCGAAGTTGACAGCGCATTGAATTGTCTGCTCAATAGGTCTAAGAGTACAGAAAAGAACGCTTCCTTATACTCATAGAGAGAGGGCAAGGGAGGTGTTGTAATCAGCCCGAAAGAGGGCATTCAGAATGAAATGAGGACATTCCGAGTCAAGAATGAAGGAAATAACAAAGAATGAAGGAAGCTCAGAGGCATGTCAACCAGGGCCTGTCCAATTCCATGAAAAGTGGGTCAATTCCAGACGACACTGTCAGATGGAATGGCCTAGAAGGTGCTGGAATCTATGATGCGTAATCTTCGCCACTGGGTTTCGTCATGTAATTGCCACATAAGGAAGTATAAAAGAGAGAGTCTTTTGTGGAAGACTGGAATAGCAGAATAGAGCAATTCACTCTGGTGCACACAATCCTAGAAGTGCTGTTGCAGTCTGACAGTAGCAGTAGTATATACAGCGGGGTTATGCTGGTACTTATTTGACAGCCAAATTTACTAGTAAACTCATGTATCTTTCCAAAAGTGGTCTGATTGGCCGAAACCCCCTATCGATTTGTCACTGTTGCACGTTCGCGGTCGAAGGGATAGCTGCAAGACTTTGAACGGATTCATAATAGTACTGTTATTATCTTTCAATTTATCAAGTATATTGACGCGTGAGCTATTAAGAGCCGCCAACGCGCGACGCGAAAAGGCCCTCGTTTGATATTTGCTTTTTTCTCTTAAAGATCCAAGGCACGCTCACTGTTCGTGGTATTCCAACCACGTAGGTGTTCCAACGGGTCAAAAAGTGGTAGTACTACCGGGGGGGGGTGTAAAGTTGTTCTGATTCCTCTTCTCTCTCTCTCTGGAACTAAGGTAGGTTCTGCTTGCGACCGGGGTTTTTGTGTGTGTGAGAGGTCCGCGCGCCGCACGTGCCTACTTGCACGTGCGTACTCGCGCGATCTCTGCTTCCTCCCTGCTAGTGTGCGGTCACCAGTATCGCTATTCCAACACTCACCTTGACCAGCCGTACCGCAAGTCGTCGTCCAAACCCTTGCGCCTTTTGCCGACCAGATTGGCCAGCCCCACGCACAAGCCAACCCCACCGTCCTCAATTGCGCAAACCAACACCCCTTGCTACATCACGATATTATGATCGCATGATTCTGGAATTTGGTACTGGGGTATGCTAGATTGAGCGCTTTCTATGCATGCAATTTGCATCGGTTTTGGCCTCAGAAACCTAAATGATTCACTCGGAAGATTGAAATATTCTACCCTATGTCCGGAATTGTGGGTCGAGCTTGCCCCACCTATTTTAAATGGATTCTACTACAATCCGAAGGGGAAGTACGGTTAGATAGGGGAAGCTCCCAACTCTCTACAAGCTATGTATAACGTTATTATGGCCTAGAATAGCTAAGGCTAAGACCGGGATAGTGATGCCATTACCCTTATAAACGATTGTCTACGACTTGCTAGTACAAATGAGAATGCTCGCGCTTGACGCGGCTAGACACCAAAATGAATGTACGGAACCCAGTATGGATTCGCCATTCCAGGTACCTGCGACCCGGAAGACACCAGCGTAGCATCTCTCGCCTTTTCATTCTTTTCATTTTCATCTTTCTCCTTTTCATCCTTAACCCCCCCGCTACGTAGCGCACGAACCGCCCGATGGAGTCCCCGGCAGACCGCTATATCCGTCATCCCTTCATCCCGCAGCGTCTCATAGAGCACCCTTGCTACATCAACGCAGTGCTTGTCTGACACTTCCCAGAGCGTTCCGACCACGTGCCGGAAGCCTGCGAGCTGGAAAGCACTGACAAGATGGATTCCCTCGTCGGCAAGCTGCACCACTTCGTTGGATCCGGTCGAGCAAGCCGAGAGATATCCAAGAAACGGCCCGTTCTCCTGGAGTCTATGGTCGCGGAGGTCTCCAACTGAGAGCGGGTTGGTTTCCCAGTCCTCGAGGAGCAGGCAGCTTCGTGAAGGCTCCGCCGGGTCCGTCTGTCCATGGCCGGCAAAGTGGAAGATCTTGCACGTGTGAAGGTGTTGGAGCACATTGTCCTTGCGCATGATCGGTGTGAGCGACCATAATTTAAGCGGCCGACAGAGATTCTTTAGCATCTTGACTTCGTCTCCAGCAAAAGGGAGGATTCGATTTGCCGCCAGGCCTGGTGTTTCGCGCATGGCAACCAGGAGAGCATAGTCGCTGAATGGTCCAGCGGACTCTCGAATAGGCTGTCGCCGTCCGTAGATCAACGCCCTAATCGACGAGGCGTACGACGATATGACTCTATCCAGTACAGTCTCGGTAGAACCTCGTACGTGTAGTCCTGCTGCGTGAAGGGGCAACTGACTGAGGAGTCCTGTAGGAATCCACCACACGCGGCGCCACTTGTCATCAGAGACAGGGTCTTTAAATCCAAGAGCGTTTAGGCTGGGACGAGCGGCGGTATTCCATAGCCATTTCAATAGAGGTGCAATATGGAAAGAGCTAGTGGCGCGAGAGAGTCGAAGACTCTGGACCTGTTTCAGGACCTCTTTTATTACTAGATCAGGTAATCCCAGCGCCGTAATTTGGTTTTTCTCAACAAGGAACGCATCACAACGATACGGACTTAAGTTGATGACGATGATAGGATCTGGATCCGCCGCGGCTATTATCTCATCTTTAGCCGGTGGAAGAAGAAAGCGTTCAAATCCAGGCTGAGTATGAATTGTTGCGATAAGCTCGCCAAATTTGTGGTCTGCTTCAAGACGCCGTTTTGCTTGTGACTCCCATGAAGACATGCTATCGTTGGAGATAGTAGGAATTGACCGGTCCGATGGCGAGTCTAACTCGTCCCTGAGGGATATGAATTCATCCGCCAAACCCGGATACTCGCGCTTAAGGTCAGAAATATCTCCGCGCATATCCATTAGCAGACCTGCAATGATGCCGCGTCCGAGTTCGAGAAGCTGCAAAGCATGAGAGGCTGCCTTCCCGGCATTTAGAGCAGTGGCGGCTGCCATTGAAGCGAGGCCAGCGGACTCAGCAAGCATGTGCTGCTTGTCGGTATGGTTTAGAGACCGCGGGCTCACTTTCGGGAGAAGCCTCACGGCTTCCTCTAGCAGCTGGCTTGATTCATCCCACTCTCGTTGCGATGCAAAAATATCGGCAGCAGCCCGAGCAAGTCGAATGCGGATAGATGGCGGGGCGGTATAACAAGACCAGCCTTCTTTGTACGACCAAAGCCTATGATTAAGGTCGTCTATCGAGCCGGTCCGCTCGAATCGCGTGCCAAGCCGGTTTCCAAGGTTATTCAAGCAGGCAGCTCGGTCGGGGTGGTCTTGAGGTGTGGCATCTACTGCCATTGTGGCAATATCAACAGCACGATTGAGGTCGTCTATCGAGCCGGTCCGCTCGAATCGCATGCCAAGCTGGTTTCCAAGGCTATTCAACCGGCCAGCTCGGTCGGGGTGGTCTTGAGGTGTGGCATCTACTGCCATTGTGGCAATATCAACAGCACGATTGAGGTCGTCTATCGAGCCGGTCCGCTCGAATCGCCTGCCAAGCAGGTTTCCAAGGTTATTCAACCAGCCAGCTCGGTCGGGGTGGTCTTGAGGTGTGGCATCTACTGCCATTGTGGCAATATCAACAGCACGATTGAGGTCGTCTATCGAGCCGGTCCGCTCGAATCGCCTGCCAAGCCGGGTTCCAAGGTTATTCAACCAGCCAGCTCGGTCGGGGTGGTCTTGAGGTGTGGCATCTACTGCCATTGTGGCAATATTAACAGCACGATTGAGGTCGTCTATCGAGCCGGTCCGCTCGAATCGCCTGCCAAGCCGGTTTCCAAGGTTATTCAACGAGCCAGCTCGGTCGGGGTGGTCTTGAGGTGTGGCATCTACTGCCATTGTGGCAATATCAACAGCACGATTGAGGTCGTCTATCGAGCCGGTCCGCTCGAATCGCCTGCCAAGCCAGGTTCCAAGGTTATTCAACCAGCCAGCTCGGTCGGGGTGGTCTTGAGGTGTGGCATCTACTGCCATTGTGGCAATATCAACAGCACGATTGAGGTCGTCTATCGAGCCGGTCCGCTCGAATCGCATGCCAAGCCAGGTTCCAAGGTTATTCAACCAGCCAGCTCGGTCGGGGTGGTCTTGAGGTGTGGCATCTACTGCCATTGTGGCAATATCAACAGCACGATTGAGGTCGTCTATCGAGCCGGTCCGCTCGAATCGCCTGCCAAGCCAGGTTCCAAGGTTATTCAACCGGCCAGCTCGGTCGGGGTGGTCTTGAGGTGTGGCATCTACTGCCATTGTGGCAATATCAACAGCACGATTGAGGTCGTCTATCGAGCCGGTCCGCTCGAATCGCCTGCCAAGCCAGGTTCCAAGGTTATTCAACCGGCCAGCTCGGTCGGGGTGGTCTTGAGGTGTGGCATCTACTGCCATTGTGGCAATATCAACAGCACGATTGAGGTCGTCTATCGAGCCGGTCCGCTCGAATCGCCTGCCAAGCCGGTTTCCAAGGTTATTCAACCAGCCAGCTCGGTCGGGGTGGTCTTGAGGTGTGACATCTACTGCCATTGTGGCAATATCAACAGCACGATTGAGGTCGTCTATCGAGCCGGTCCGCTCGAATCGCCTGCCAAGCCGGTTTCCAAGGTTATTCAACCGGCCAGCTCGGTCGGGGTGGTCTTGAGGTGTGGCATCTACTGCCATTGTGGCAATATCAACAGCACGATTGAGGTCGTCTATCGAGCCGGTCCGCTTGAATCGCCTGCCAAGCCAGGTTCCAAGGTTATTCAAGCAGGCAGCTCGGTCGGGGTGGTCTTGAGGTGTGGCATCTACTGCCATTGTGGCAATATCAACAGCACGATTGAGGTCGTCTATCGAGCCGGTCCGCTCGAATCGCGTGCCAAGCCAGGTTCCAAGGTTATTCAACCAGCCAGCTCGGTCGGGGTGGTCTTGAGGTGTGGCATCTACTGCCATTGTGGCAATATCAACAGCACGATTGAGGTCGTCTATCGAGCCGGTCCGCTCGAATCGCCTGCCAAGCCAGGTTCCAAGGTTATTCAACCGGCCAGCTCGGTCGGGGTGGTCTTGAGGTGTGGCATCTACTGCCATTGTGGCAATATCAACAGCACGATTGAGGTCGTCTATCGAGCCGGTCCGCTCGAATCGCATGCCAAGCCAGGTTCCAAGGTTAGTCAACGAGCCAGCTCGGTCGGGGTGGTCTTGAGGTGTGGCATCTACTGCCATTGTGGCAATATCAACAGCACGATTGAGGTCGTCTATCGAGCCGGTCCGCTCGAATCGCCTGCCAAGCCAGGTTCCAAGGTTATTCAACCGGCCAGCTCGGTCGGGGTGGTCTTGAGGTGTGGCATCTACTGCCATTGTGGCAATATCAACAGCACGATTGAGGTCGTCTATCGAGCCGGTCCGCTCGAATCGCATGCCAAGCCAGGTTCCAAGGTTATTCAACCAGCCAGCTCGGTCGGGGTGGTCTTGAGGTGTGGCATCTACTGCCATTGTGGCAATATCAACAGCACGATTGAGGTCGTCTATCGAGCCGGTCCGCTCGAATCGCCTGCCAAGCCGGTTTCCAAGGTTATTCAACCAGCCAGCTCGGTCGGGGTGGTCTTGAGGTGTGGCATCTACTGCCATTGTGGCAATATTAACAGCACGATTGAGGTCGTCTATCGAGCCGGTCCGCTCGAATCGCCTGCCAAGCATTACCCCAAGGTTGCTTAACATGCCAGGTTCAATATATGCTCCTCCAAGCTCCAATACCTGTTCCATAATCCTAATGGCTTCATTTAGATCTTGGAGGCGGCCGGTTTGCTGGTAACTCTTCGTTAGTCTTGTCGCTTGATTATTTAAATGGCGTATTTGGATGCCGATTTCGTCAACTCCTGGCTCTTCGCCCATTCTTTGGCTAATAGATATCCTCATATTAGCAGCTGGCCGTCTCCTGTAGATAGCATTATGGCTTGATAGTGCTAAGCGCCTCTTTGCATACCACGACTGAAATTTAAACTAGAAATTCAATCTAGAAGTGTTAAAAAATCTTGTAGCTTACGTAACTCCTGGAAGCGTGAGCATGATGCCTTCTAGGATGGAGCTATGCTGGTGTATCCAGGCTGACATCATGTCGAAGATGCGAGATCGCCGGATACAATCAGGGTGGTCTGTGGGCGTAACGGCGACCCATCTCTCTGCTCGTTGAGCCGCTCGGTCTAGGTATTCCGTCGAGAGTGACTTCTTGAAGACGAGGAAGCAGGTATAGATGTACAGTTCAATTTCTGTATCTTTCGTGGCATCTTTTTGCAACTCCGCAAAGGAACGAAGATCTTCGTCATTCATATCATGAAAGAGAGAGGCCATATCGGCCTCAATGTTGAACAGCTCCATCTCGGTCGTGATGGTAGCTGGCCACCAAAAGCTTTGGGTAGCTCGAATTCGTTGTCCAGAGCTGCGAGGTCGTGTGAAAGGGCGGCTTAAGACGAAATCAGTTGTGGTAATCAAGATAGATATGAATAGTAGACTAGGAGAGCGTTAGCAAACAAAAATAGACTATGGGTTCGGCTGACCTGGGTATGCGCTCTAATATCTTTAATCGTAGTCATAAGGCTGTACTTATATCAAAGACGGAGACCTCCTAACCCCCGCATCCTCCATATCCTTCATCTCCCGAAAATATATATGATAAACTGCCCTACTTTGTGCAGCGCCTCTCATACGCAAAACTGCAGGATTGTGTTTCAACCCTTCCGGGAGCCTTACTGGAGTGCTGGCCCCGGTGTTTCTCTGACCAAGCAGCGCCTACTAGCTGACAGATGAATTCTGCCTTGGGGTTTCGATGAGGCTCGGCCATGTCGTAGCACCTTACCGCAGCTTTCAGGTTGTTTTTGGTGGGGGGACTCAGCCCAGGCAGCAGCAGTGGGTTGATAAAAAACCCACCGTGCATGCGATAATTGTTTTTTATTGGTGGGGAAGCTTGATGCTCCTTGGATAAGCCGGAGCTGGATGCCTAACTGAATGGGCGGCAGGCGTTTTGGGTTCAGGGCGATGTGGGGTTCAAGGCGAATGCGAGTCTGAAAAAGCCTTACAGAGAGCCTTATAGAGTACTGTGTAGGCAGGCACCGTTTGTACCACCTCGGGCGGCCTTAGGCGTCAAGTCAGGCCGTATCTGTTACGGCACGGCCGAACTATGGTCCGTGATGCCGTAATACTCATTTGCAGCCCTACTCCTAATCAGGACTAGCGTACACTTGCCTCATCCCACCACTAAAGACCAGCGCCTGCAGGACTCGCAGGCTTCTTCCTTTCCCTTTCCTTTCCTTAGCTTAGTTACTTACCAATTCAGCCACTATTTACTTGCAGCTTTGCCTCTTGTATTTGCCTGCCTTCACAGTATCCTGATTGATATAAGACACTAGCAGCAAAGGACCCTTCCACGATAGAAGTTCTCGAACTCAGACTTTGGCTTACTAGCATCACTTTTTACCCTCTTCTACTCTCCCCGCATGCGATTCATTATTATTACCATGGCTGATAATAATACTGCTGTCGCCCCGACACACTGGGCGGTTTTGATTGGGATTAATTTCTATGTGGAAGGCCGATGCCTCCAGGGCAGCGTGCGAGACGTTGAAACCATGAAGCAGTATCTGGAGGCAGGACCTACCCCTGTGGATATCGCCGTCCTCACTGCAACAACATCATCCGAGCCTAGCTCTCGCCATCCCATCGAGGAGCCCGCCTTGTGGCCCACACGCGACAATGTCATCAAGAAGCTCAAGAGAGTCCTGGAGAAGGCAGAGCGGGGAGATTTCGTATACATTCATTACTCCGGTCACGGAACGCGGAATAACGATGGGGGATCCACTCATCCGGCCGGAAACCTGGCTTTTGTTCTCTTCGAGTATGACGAACACGGCTGCAGCTACCTAAAGGGCCCAACCTTCGCAAATTGTCTCCGCAAGATGGTGGGAAAAGGGCTCCTCGTCACTGTTGTCCTCGACTGCTGCTACTCGGGAAGTGTCCTCCGTGCCGGCAGCGTGCAAGGCGCCGACATACGGTCCATCGACTACGACCCTGCCGTCGACGCGGCATCTCCACAGGGTCCAGACCCATTTTGCGCAAATAACACCTTACGCGACGCCCAGACACCACTAGATCAATGGCTTGTCAACCCAGACGGGTACACAATCCTCGCCGCCTGCGCTCCACATCAGAGGGCGTGGGAACTGCAAATCCAAGGAGGGGAGCGAAGAGGGGCACTCAGTTATTTTCTCGTCGAGGCGCTGAGCGCCTTGAAGAAGAGCCGCGTCGAGGTTTCGCATCAGTCCCTGTTTCAGCATCTGCACACGAGGTTCCACGTATCCTGGCCACAGCAAGCCCCCATGCGCTACGGCAACAAGAACTTTTCATTCTTCGGGAAGCTCGTTGTTGCACCAAGCATAGGATTTACCCCCATCTACAGAATAGAGAGCGGCCACCTGTGCTTGAGCGCTGGGGAGGCACACGGGGTGCACAAGGGTGACGAGTATGCCGTATATCCGTTTGATACGCCGGAAGATGTTGTCAGCCAGGCGAGTGGGGCATCGGTGCTGGTAAGAGTGGAAACTGTCCGCTGCCTTACTTCAGATGTGGTGGGAGTCAAAGCGACGGCATCGGCAGTTAGCCAGGTCGGGACGGGCTGGAAAGCAAGGCCGGTAACGCAGCTTTCGCCCTACAAGACTTCGGTACGGCTCACGGCTGGCGCCTTCTCCCAGCTCCAATGGACAGAGGCCGCAAGACGGCAGCAGTTCCTGCATGTTTGTACCGAGGACGAGGATACGGAACCGTGCATCTTCCATGTCGCGCTCGGCGAAAACGACAAGTACGAGATCCTAGACGGGCTACTCGAGAAGATCATGAGCCTGCCAGCCATACCGCGACACATTTCTAGAGCATCCGACCTTGTCATGGACGTCTTGCAGCACGTAGCGACGTTCAAATTCTTTGAAGGGATTGAGAATCGGATACCTAACGTCTCCTTCGAATCCTCCTTTGACCTTGATCCCATTGGCCAAGCCGGAGCTTCGGGCGTTTTCGATGTCAGGCACGGCGACACTTGGGGATTTAGGATCAAGAACTGCGGGGTTCGCCCTTTATATCTGGCGATATTCAACTTTACGCCGATGTGGAAGATTACCAACCTTATGTCGCAGGCAGTAGTGCAGCCTAAAGGCGAAGAGGGTTCTGGCGAAGCGGAAAAACTATTCAGGATGACAGTCCCGGAGCCGCTTCGAAACCAGGGCGTAAGGCGATGCAAAGATATTGTGAAGGTATTTGTTACTAGCAAATCAACCTTTTTTGAGTCGATGAACTTGCCCGAGCTTTCCTTCTGCGACGGAGCTTCGAATAGAGCGACGTACGGGAGCGACAATCTACGGCTCAAATTCCTTAAAGAACTAATGACACCCTTTCGAGGCCGGGATCACGCGCAGGAGGAATGGGTCACCCGGAACTTTATTGTCTGTACGGCTATGGATTGAAGTAGGCTAGTTTACTCAAAATCATCATACAATTCCAGTTCCTCTTCCGTCAGCCAACTACCACCCTTGACTAGGATGTTGTTCTGATCGCAGAGCTTGTAGAGTCCGTTCTCCACAGCAGCCACTTTGTAGGGCCCTTCGCGTGTCGCCGTGCCTAGAACACATACGTAGACCTGGTCATTGAGGCAAAACTTTGCGTTCTGGTAACTGTCAGTCACGCTGGTGCGGCCGGAATAGAAATGCTCACCTTTGCGTATTGTGCAATCCATGGACGATCACCGTCCTTACAGAAAGAGAATCTAAGGTGTCTTAGTATTTTGCTAGTAAGATTATGTTACCTCATATTCGAGGGTACCTACTCAACTTTCGGATCCATGTTATCGTTCTTTCGTAAAGACCGATCTTGGCTGTTGCGTGCCTTGGAGAAAGGAGCGGGAAGTGCGGTTAGAGTGGTAGGTCTCAGTCTTTACTTGTCTTATCGTGCAAATATTTCTCCACTTACCTCAGCCACTGTTCCTTTCAGCCTAACCAAGCAACAGCCAATCACTTTGTGTAGCGTGGTTTTGCCCAGCATGGTGCCTAGCTGTCCGCCCGATGTGTTGGGCAAAACCGTGCGGCACTGCCCCAAAATATGCCTCGACTCCGCCACCTTCCCCCGCTCCCCGACTCTCACATATTCGAACCTAGTTTGCCGTCTAGCAACTAATCTGCGACATGGTGCCTCTAGAAGACGATATCGAGCCTGGATGGCGTGGCGATCCTTCCTCTGCGCCGTCGCCCGGGGATGCCAGCAGCTCGGGAACCATGCGTGGCGCTCCTCAAAAAGATCATAGAGGGTGGTCGATGCAGAGTACGGCATGACCTAGTTGTTAGCGCAAATGGACTTGCCGCTAATGTCGCTCAGTCGAAGACTACCCGGCCGGGTACCCTCGGTTCTCGGCGGTTATAGCATCTCACGACTCCTTCCATCTCTGCCGCCGATTTTCCAACCTGCGGGCGCGCCTGCTCCTGCTCAAGCAGGACAGATTGTCCCTGCTAGAAGGGCGGCTAGAGAAGATCGACCAAGAGGAAGTCACACTGCTGTTGCTAGGAAGCAGCCGGGATGATACCAACAGTGAGAGAATCTCTGTTCTCGCAGAGATTGACGCGGCTTTGGCCGACTACGGTACGTCAGCAAACGATTGGTCTCGAGCAAGCACTGACGTCGGCACAGATGCACTTATAGAGCGGAACCACAGGGTCCTTGGCCTAGAAGACGCATCGCATAGAGACGTGGCGAGCTTGCAGAACTGGGTAGATGGGAACGGCTGCATCGCTCGGCGGGAGACGGCATACCTCGCATGCGCCCAAGATCTTGCTAGCGTAGCGTCCCCGGATGACGGAGCCACGATGTGGCTGGGCGCACTGGTCGAGAGATGCCACGGCTTCTTCTACACGTGTGTCGGCCGTGTGCGGAACCTACACTTATCTTTGCGTTTTGAGATGCTAACTTATGGAAGCATCCCCGGCGTAACGCCTCGCGAGACTCGAACGTGCACATATTTCCCCGGTCATCGGTCACGTGGGCCGCCAGGATGCTAATGACGCCATTCGTCGTTGTGTTGCTCATAGCTCCCGTCGTCGCCTGCAACTTTGTCAGCAGCTTGACAGCCAAACTGATTGCTATTGTGGCCGCCACCACCGGGTTCCTTGCAGCATTATCCGGCTTGACCAAACCAAAAACGATCGAGCTGGTCGTAGCAGGGGCAACGTGAGCACACCTTACTTAAACGGGTCGGGAAAGACGGTAACTGACTGTTGTCATAACTGCAGCTATACGGCTGTCCTGGTCGTTTTTATTTCGAACACATGTTTATGAAAATTAACCTGATGGTACAGCATTCTTGTTTCTCATCTGGGATTTTGAATGAGACTTAATCTATGCGCCCACTTGTTACATTCGGCGCACCCACGTGGCTGGTAGCTGTGGGAGATGGAGCTGATATGTATATATCGTCAATGGTTTATTACGAATCCCGGCTTCAGTAAGCTAAATGTAGAGCGGTAAGTGCCGTAGTATAGACCAATAAGGAAGGAGGGCTAGGATCCACACTGCTCATGTTTGATTTTCATGTGGAGGAACTTCCTCAGTCGTTTTGCAAAGGGGATACCAACAAAGAGATATCCGGTTGCTCCCGTATCCACGAGTGCATCAGTAGTAAACAAAGACATTCCATTGTTTACTATGGTACAATCCGTAAGGAACTTCGGTCCCCCCAACAAGGGTTTCCAGTCAATGAATTTGCCTAATTTGTGATGTACGAAGGATATGTCCCCTGAGAGGGAGTTCAGATTCCCCAGGGTCTCTAGTTTTCCGAATTGCTAGATGTGCTTAAGCTATCGGGCTCCGGGTCGGTATCGATCTCCTTTGTCTTTTTCTTCTTCTTGGTCCATCTTTCCCGATGGTAGCTACGGTAGGCTTCTTCTTATCTTGAGCAGCTTTGTCGGCTGCAGCCTTCTCGGGCAATCCAACTTGGTGTGCCCGAGGTTACGGCAATAGAAGCAACGACCCCCCTTGATGTATTGTTGGACTTCCTCCTTGCTGAGTCTACCCTTAGACTGCCCCACTCCCTTGGAGGAGGACTCGGTATTGGTGGGACGCCTTGCGTTACCGTTGCCATTTCTAGCGCCTGAGGAGGTATCTTTCCGGCGCTCCTGTCCTTGTTTGAGGCTCAAGGAAACTGCTGAAGCCAGGCGAGCATACTTCTCAAAATCAACTGCGGAATCCTCGTACGGGACTGCGAGGTTTGTCTGTAGAATGGTAGTGAGTTTTCGCTTGAACTCCTTCTTCCATTCCGACTTAGGCTTATGACACTGGCCAGCAAGTCAAACGAAGTTGTTCTTGAACTTGGAGAAATTATCTCCAGGGCGTAACTGCAGCTTTTCAAACTCTGCGATTGCTTGGTCTTCCTCGTGGGGGTTGTGATACTCTCCCCAGAGGTGCTTCAATAGCTCTTCTGAGGTAGTGATCTGGTTCGTGCCCTAATGTCACGGCATGGCCCGTGCATGACATGGCACGTGGCCCACAACCACCTATTTCCCCGCGTCCTGCGCGGTCTCTGCCATAGCTTCCTTCTTCATCTTTAGATTCTACGAATTCAGAAATGATTACTGCAGCCCTGTCTCCTTACGTTGACTGAGCCGTGATACGCGTCTTCTTTTCCGACTGGCGCGTACGTCTTCTAGTATTTAGAGTACGGAGCGCTAACCGAAGTTGTGCCATACTCACAGCTGTGGACTCTCTTAGATACGGACCTCATATTCGTCCAAGCATGACCGTGAGAACAAGATAGTTAACATAATGCGTGGCTTGACCCCGTCACTCGAGTGCACGTTGGTACGCAATGTCACGGCCGGCTTGGAATGAGGGCGGAACTCCTCTATTGGGCGCTATAGACGAAGATTCTAAACTAAAGGGAAAAGGGAAAAGAAGCTCAAAAGCCTCCCCTCGCGAGATTCTTCCAGGGCGTCTCAAGGTGGGGCTCTGGCTGGTCGGGTGGATCCACCCAACTGGCGTCTGATTAGTCAGAGCGTCTGGGAGGCCTGGAGGACTAGGCCCTCACACGCAATTCCTAGACAAACATTCTAATTCTATCTGCTCTCCAATCAATTCTTATCTATCCTCTAATGCCTGAAAAGACCAGACTCCCAGATTTGTCGTTCATCGAATCCGATTGCAGCTTCGAGGAGACGCTCCGTTCCTCTTAAAAGGACGGGTCCGCATCATCAAGTAAGCCCCCTTCTATAGAAAGCGCATGTCTCAGAGTTCTTAGTAATTAACATGGCTCAGCGCATGGCGCCCTTTGCGGCATACCGTTCAAGAGTGGCCACTTGCTCTCTGCGAGTCGAGTTTGATGTAAAGAAAGGCAGGTACGCCGGATCAAGGTGGTCACAATGGAGGCAACAAGAAGGTGAGCAATGACTGGCAATGGTGTAAGACTTCAACCTAGCCCTTGCAGAGAGAGGTAGGCGAGGGCCACTACTTATATACATAGTCTGGAAGTGTGTGGGGTATGTGTTCGTAGAAGCGTAGTGCCCCGTGTGGATCCGTTGCCAGCTGGTAGCAGGTGGTGGGCGCGCACAGGGTGCGCGCATGTCAGGGAGTGTGTGTGTTGGGGTGCTCTTTCCTTACATTTGATGTCGCAACAAGACCTTGTGGAATGTGACCACGTTCGGCGGAGGTTCAAATGGTGCGCTTTTTACGCGTACTACAACCCTGATCATAAATGGCACTATCTGTCAAGGCAGAAACCGGAAGAGGTTATGTTTTTGAAGATCTTTGACTCGGATCCCTTAGTTAGAGCTACGAGTACATCGACCCTCCCGTGCCCTCCCGCTCTACGTCAAGCAAAGCAAGGGCCGTAAACGTAAGATTGTTCTCATACATCTTTCCAACACCTAAATAGCCCTAAGGACTGTCCCCTCGCGAGAGTATCGAGGTCCGCGCACTAATATTTAACTACCCGACTGATAAATAACTGCTGGGCACAATGAATAAGCCAAATTAGTGCAAGTGTAGCCCATAATTCGGGGTTGTGTTACGATCCCGGCTCAAGTCTGCAGGAGGCGCTGGAAGCCGATTGCTGATTGGGCAGCACTGGCAGGCGGGACGGGCCCCACATGAGCTCGGTGCGGCCAACCAGGCGGCGCTCAGTGCGTTCGGCCGCCAAGATTGGGAAGACCCACTGAGCAGGAAGAACAGCCAATTAGGAAAGTGCTCAGTTACCATTGAGAGCTCAGTCGTCCTGGAAGACTGAGCGCTCCGGAGGCACTGAGCACTGTAAGGGAGAACTCTGATTGGTTGCGCAAATTAGATAAATACGATGACCGTACCCACGGTCTTAGATAGTTCTTGCTTGGTTCGGCAAGCAAGCAATACACATTCACTGCACTCATACACTTTGAGTGGCATTCCAATTTGACTGTATTACCCGTGCGATAGGAGCTTGCCCTTTGTTCTATCTTCATAATTACCAACACCAGCATTCTGTGGAGCCCGTGCTCTCTTACAAACGGACGACCCTGACAGTTGAGTGGTTTGTAATAATACCTTATAGAGGATGTCAGGCCGGTAGGTAGCATACAGGCTTGGTGGTTTAGTCGTCTAGATCGCTGGCCCTGGTTGTCAAAGATGGCTCTAGAATTAATGACGATTCCGTCGATATCAATAGACCCGGAGAGGGCATTCAGCGGAGAAAAACTCGTCATTAGCACGCAGAGACACAGTATGGTTGACGATACCTTCAATAACACCATGTATTTGAAGAATTGGATGCGAAGATGAGCTTTCCCGGGCTCCAGGGCTTTTTTTTCTATCCCAGGGGACTATTTTAATGACTTTTTACCTATTTTTTAGTAGAGCGGAAGATGCCGTTAAATATCGTCAAATGAGACCCACTCAATCAAATCGAGCCTAGAGCCAGTCAAATATCCGGTTTTTGGGGTCAAATCCAAACAAATATAGCCTCATATTTGAATCGTTTGATTTGTTACTAGCGCTGCTCTCTACCACCTCCATCTTCCTCCCTCCTCACCCGGGACGGCCTCTCATTCATTCTCAGTTGGCTCTGGCGCGCGTCAGTCTCGCTCGCCGCAAGCGTGCTCATCCTAGTCGTCAACTTCAAGTGCTGGCGCCCGAGCACGCGCGCGTGGCTGACTCTGGCGCTGGGGTTTGCGCAGGCGTACAACGCGCTCAAGCACGCGACGCCGCTGCTCTGGGGCGGCCCGGGGTCGTCGCGCGCAGTATCGTAGCACCGCCTACGCATGAGCGGGTTCGATTTGCCTCTGAGCGGGGACTGGAGAGAGCGAGAGAGGGTGCTGGGGGCGCGGCGGGCGGCGCCGTGGAGTATCAGGCCGGAGCGTGCGAGGGCATTGGGGTAGGAGGTGCGCGAGTGTTTCTTTATCATGTATGTGCATACGGGGTTGTGTGTAAGCGACGTCAGGCTGGCGATCCATTCCACGTCCACGGTCCACGCGTCCACGCCGTGGAAATGGATGGTCCGTGCATCCATTTCCATCCATTCCACGGACCTGCCCGTTACATAATCCATCCATCCACGCGAGGGCTCCGTGGAGTGGATGCGTGGAAATGGAAGCAGGGGTGTGAAAGGGTAGGGGTGGTCCTGGTCTGGCCCCTCAATACCCCTGCAATTCAGGTGGAAACAAGCTTGGTAATGGTTGGCCGAGATCTCAGGTACCTATAATACGGTCATTTCCATATACAAATAAAGGTATTTTTAAACAGAATAGAACAGCCATGGGTCTTGGACATTTCGCGTCAAAGGTGTCGCGTCGAACGCGTCTAGACGAGTCCATTCTCGATGAGTACCGCGTAGAATGGCTAAGACGCCGGTTATCAGCTCTATGGCTCTCAAGTCGCCAGATCAGGAGAGTTGGAAGGACTCGTGGGACCTCTTCCCTTGGAAAGATTTTCCCGGATACACGCAATCTCAACGCTGCGCGTCCACATCATCATGGATATGGCAATTCGGCTACGATATTGAGAAGAGCGACGATGATACAAAACGGCGATGGGTTTGCAAGGTCTGTGTTGACAGTCGCAAGCCCAACCCTCATTCGACAGCCTCAAGCAGTACGCAGAACGCGGAGATCCATCTCTAGAATGACCACAAGGTCTATGACCCTTCCGGAAAGCGGAGACCGCCCAGCAAAGCAAAGGAGAAGACACCATCGAGGAATATAGCCGAGATGATGAAGCTAGATACTCATGACGTGCGAGAGCAGCAGATCGCAAACCAGATCATTGGCCGCTTTGATCGGCTAGTGTTCCAGCGTTTGGTTGTCTCATGGATCATCAACAGCAACTCTTCTTTCCGACAAACTGAAGATCCATACCTCCGTGCCGCTTTCGAGTATCTCAATCCACTCGTAAAGACAACCGAAGCGCATATTACGCACGATACAGTCCGCAGGCGGATTCTTCAGGTGTACGGGGGAAACAAGGCGGAGATCAAGCGAGTATTAGCGGCAGCCCCGGGGTCAATTCATATTGCATTCGATGGCTGGAGGTCCAATAATCGCCACGCTTTGTATTGAATCTGTTGCTATTTTCTCAACACCCTTGGCCAGCCGGGAAAACTCGTGCTCGGCCTTCCTGAGCTGGTCGACCGCCATTCTGGCGACAATATCGCCGCCCATGTTGTCGAGGTCCTTCGAAGCTACGACATAGCTCATAAGGTGGGATATTTCACACTCGACAACGCTAAGAATAACGATACGGCGATGGAAGAAATTGGGAAGGCGCTTGGTTTTGAGGGTAAAACTCGGCGATTACGCTGCTTTGGCCACATCCTCAATCTTGCCGTCAAAGCACTTCTCTTTGGCCATGATTCCGAGGCTTTCGAGGACGACATTCAAGGGAACGAGGCACCTGACGCGAAACTCCACGAGCTATGGAGACGAAAAGGACCGGTTGGGAAACTCCATAACCTCGTCTTCTGGATCCACCGTTCAGACACTCTGACCAGTCACCTTCGATTTCTTCAGCTTACCGCGTATAGCAAGTCTGATGATCCGGCGACTCGAGCGAAGAAACCTCTGGATGTTATCACCGATGTGGTCACCCGTTGGCTATCCACTCTTTATATGATTCGGCGTGCCCTTCTCCTAAAGGACTTCCTCCAGGATCTTTGGTACGAACAGAAAAGCGAGTGGGAGGGGCTGGTATTGAGGGGAAAGAAGTCAAACAGCGACGTGCCACTTTGCCTCAGGGACGAGAACAAACTCGGAGAGAAAGACTGGGCTATTATCTCCTTATTTAACGAGGTCCTGCAACACTTCGAGCACGTCATGATTACTCTCGAAGGCGATGGTCAGCAGCGCAAGCGGAAAGAAGGATACATCGAAGCGTATGGGTGTCCATGGGATATCCTGCTTGGCTACGAATACCTCCTTGGTAAAATGGAGATATATGTCACGGCATGGCCTGGACAGGCTCCTGTTTGGAGTGTGGTCTGTGCCTGACGTATCACGTGGCCCACAACTACCCATTTCCCCGCGCCCTGCGCGGTCCCCGTCATAGCTTCCTTCTTCATCTTTAGATTCTACGAATTCAGCGATGATTACTGCAGCCCTGTCTCTTTACGTTGACTGAGCCGTGATAATATACAAGGCTACCGCTCATCGATATCCCGATCCTGAACACTTCAAGGTTAATATTAACCTCTGTTGGAAGAAGCTTGACAGGTACTACTCGCGGCTTGACGAGACGCCGGTCTATTACGCCGCCATTACACTTCACCCGGCGTACCGTTGGGGATATTTCGAGGACGTCTGGGCGGATCGCCCGGGCTGGATCCAGACTGCAAAATCCGTTGTAGAGGGACTATACCGGTCTCACTACGAGTGGCGAACTATCTCGCGGGATCGAGACCGCGGCGAGCCAGTCATGAAGAAGCGGCGCATATATCGGAATCCTTTTGATGAGTATCGTGAAGAATCCCGTCTTGCCCCGACTCTATTACAGCTACCTTCATCGACGACTCCCCTGTTGCAAGCTGAGGACGTGGGCGGCGGTTCAGCTCATTCTGTTGGCGACGAATACAGCGATTGGTTCCGCGACGTCCATAAGTCTGACCAGAATGTCCTAGATCCTATTAGCTATTGGTATGAGAGGCGGGAAGAGTATCCACGTCTGTCGCAAATGGCTCTCGATGTGCTTTCTGTCCTTCCTATGTCTGCTGATGTCGAGAGACTGTTCTCAACATGCGGGCGAATGGTTCGAGACGAACGAGCTAGGCTGGACGCTAGTACGATCGGGATGACACAGACAGTGAGATCATGGCTTCGTGGGGGATATATCGAGAGTACAGAGAAGCTTCTTGAAGAAGCCAAGGCGCCAGGGACTGATCTGTTGAGTTGAGCTTTGCGGAAGCCCGGGAGGCAACAGGGGGGAGGATCACGTGTATCGTCCCTTTATAGCTAGCGTCCACGTATTTCCATTCCATGTCCATCCATTCCACGGGCCTACTCTTAGCGTCCATTTCCATCCATTCCATTTGAGGTGGACCCAAATGGACGTCCATACATTCTACTAGAGGCTGCGTGGATGGAAATGGAATGGACCGCCAGCCTGGTAAGCGTAGGATGGGGCCTGCATCTGTAGTTTGGGTGGGTGGAATGGACCGCCAGGGGGGGAGCTGGGTTGGTGAAGTGCGTTGGCATTGTTGTAGCACTATATTTGTACTACGTATTTAAGCGGATATTCTCTGAGGATGATGATTAAGTAGGTAGTGCTATTTAGAGTTGTTCATGTATGATGAGGATGCGACCAAGCTTTCTTTTCCTTTCTCAAACCAGTTCCTCATTAGACGCCTAGCTTCAGGTTGCAGCATTTTTGACACATTTTCCGATTCAGCCTACCAGGGTTTGAGCAGCTATCAAGTCAGAGCGATTGTCGTGTCTGTATTTTCCGGTACCTGAGGTGTGATGTGCGTTGGCGCGGCGAGCAATCGCTTACTGAGACTCGTTCCGTGACGCCCGTTAGGTCAGCGGAGTTATGACAACCGATTCGCAAAACTAAGAGTTTTATAAGGCGTACATATCATACTAAGGCCCGATAAACCCCAGACTTCATCGCACGGTACAGCCTTGGGTGGCAGTTTTGCCACATCGTTTAGGCAAATTTGTGGGCATGACCTACCGCATTCCAGTAAGCATATCTACGAAAACGTGCGCTACAGTTCAGACATAGTGGCAGACTCTGTAGTAATTCGTAAGTATGGCCGTCTCTCTTGCCGGCTACAATTCAAGGAGCTGGAAGGCTAGGCTGGGAAAGGAAGCGCATTTTACTATACTCCGTACAGCTCACAACATCCGCATTGATTGTCTCGGCCAGCGCCGACAAGTCTCATCATGCAACAACCTAGACTTTTTCACAAGGTCTGCATCTCACTTCCCGTGCTCATCACATGGGCAGATAACACAGTAGACTGTCCAAGAAACACGCTCGAGCTCACCTGAGCAGCGCCCAATCTAAGAAACGCCACCTTCCGGCCAGGGAAGTGGGAAGGAAAGAAGTCCCTAGACAAGTACTGCGCCTACGTCAACAACCACATAAACGGCGGCCTCGTGCTGGTCTCGGCCGAGAAGAACGTCCACGTCGTCGACAGGTTCCCAAGCGTCGAGACATTCGAGCACGACGGCGGCGCGCCACCCTTCTACGCGACCGAAATCCCGGCAAGGGCATCGGGCTGGTAGCCAACCGCAAGTGTCACAGCACCAAACCTGACGTCAGGGATTACGATTGCGCACGCTGGTATTTCAGAAGGTCTCTGGACAAACGTGGGGCCGTGGGCTCCCACTCGGCCAATCAACAACATCCCGCCAGCCTCACATTCTCTTGTCCTTTTGCTGTTAAGTCCTCCAGCCAATGAATAGGCCTACAGAAGACCCACAACGAGTCATCAGGATTCTGATGTGTCCCTGTGGGTCCGGCCCCCACTAGACGCACCTGTCCGTGCGCTTACGTACGAGCGAAAGTCACTGACATAATTCTAAAAATGCATCTAACGCGTCCATTTTTGCGCTGCCTTTTCCCCCACCACAGCCAACGTATCGCCAACACCACAACCATGGCTACCTTCCCTGATACCTGCCTCCCTCCCGAAGGCTTTTTCTAGTCTCGATAGGCCTTATTCAAATCAATTAACGCGTACGCAAAGCTTCGAGGCTACGCTTTTACATCCCATATGTCAAACAAGGAGAAGATAGGCCCCTGGTTGCAGGCTCCACCCCGCGGCCCCACTCTCCCCAATTGGGACTAGCCCAGTTGCCCCTCTCCCCACCACAAAACCACAGCCTGCAAGGACTGCAGGCTTCTTTTCCTTTTCCTTTCCTTAGCTTAGTTATTTACGAATTCAGCCATTCTTTACTTGCAGCCTTGACTCCTGTTGATGCCTGATTGAGCGAGGGAGCGCCAAGACAGGGTCATATGACAGGCACGTGTAGTCTAACTGTCTAAGGACATAGGGAAGCGGGGCTTAGCCCGACGCGATTGGACCGCGTCTGCCTCACCAAAGGACCACATTAAGGTCCTCAGCAGGGCAGTGCTCCCGAGCTTCCTCCCTCGATCATCAATTTACCTACTATTACAATCACTCTTACGTAAGCGCACGGACCCGTGCGGCTCCCACTAGGCGCACAGGTCTCTGCGCTTACATAAGCCTGAAATTCGCTTACATAAATCTAAAAATGCATCTAACGCAGCATTTACCCCGCGCAAAAAAAGGAGCTCTCAACACCAACGTATCGCCAACACTGCAACGATCCAGCCATCCAGCCAGCCATTCAATCAATCCGTACAATATCTGAATAACGCTTCGGACATATCCGAGAGGTCCGTATATGGCCAATTTCACCGCAAGTCGTACACTGGCTTGGCCGCTTAGCCCGTGTTGCCTGTGTTGCCTCAACGACCTCGAATTCACTAGGCTCCCGTTTCGTACTTGACGCTGGAAGCTTACTAGTTGTAGCTTTTGGCTCTATACGATGGGGCTCTAAAAGCTGAAGTGGAGCCCCATTACGTATTAAGCGCCAGTGTGGATGGAAGTCTTCAAGAAGAAGAGGCTCTTGACGTCCAGTTAGTGCATGGACACATGGAAGCCCGTAGATACGGGTAAAAGTACCTGTACAAGTAGGTTGAGGAGGGTCTTTCCACTGTAGTTGCCGCTGCTTCTCAACCTTCCGTAGTGCTTCGTATGAGACCCAGTCCTTTACAGCCTTATATAGAGCTTTGCCGAGCTCAAGGGGTATACGGATCTGTTGCTTGGCTTGATTAGACCGTAGTTCAGAGAGTTGGTTGATCAATGCAAGCCGAATTGCCTTCCATGCTTCAAAAAGGTCAAATGTTGACCCCTGAAGGTACGACTTAAGAAGCGCATGGATCCCTTCAACACGAGAGGCAGCTGTATTTCCAAAATGAGCTTGTTGGTCGACCCATGCAGAGACAAGCTTCTCTTTGAACGGTAGGAGCCATGTCTCCTTAATATAGCCAACCTGTACAAGGTTTGTCAAGCCATACTTGTTTTCGAACTCTTTTAAACGCTCCTCGTAGATCTCTTTAGTTGGCGAATTAAGGATAGAGAACCAAAAAGCGTAGAACTCTTTCCAATCCTCAGCTTCTGGAAATGCTGGTTGGCACCGCGCAAGAACTGCCTTATTTGCATGCCAGATACAGAGAGATGTTGTTGATGGAAAGAGAGTTGAGGCTGCGTTAATAACTGCCAGGCACCGGTCTGTCAAAATGACTGATGGGAAAACTCCACCACACTGCTCATATAAGGTCTTCAACCGCCCAAGAGCCCATATGTAGTCTTCTTCAGCCTCACCGCTCAAAAATGCAAAGGCAATACAAAAGGACCGTCCAGTTGCATCAACACCAACCATGTCGAGAAGTGGCATGCCGTATTTGTTTGTTTTGTATGTACAGTCGAGAAGGAGGACTTCAGGATACGCTTGAAGATAGACAAGAGAGTCGGGATGCGCGAAAAGAACTGCCGTTACATGCCTATCTGGCCCATATTGTACACGGCTCCAGAAGCCTTCTTCCTCAAGCTGATTTGCAAGTGCGTGGATTGGACTCTGGCCTTGACGAGAGTCCCGGCGGACTTCAGCGATACGGTTGTAGATGTCTTGACGTGTTGCTAACGAACCACTTTGCCGTACAACTGTCTGGATCTCCTTTGGCGCAAGGCCAGCATTTGAAAGTACTGGTAATTGTGATATATTGCTGGAGAGCTGTCGTTGGATAGGGTGTGCAGATGGGTGTAGGCTTGGCTCGTGGTTATGGATTGTGAAGCGACGATCTGGACGATGCTTTAGAGCCCAGCCTTCGCTAGACTCTTTAGCAAGGACCGAAAAGGAGCAATTCGTCATACGGGTAGTTGTTTTTCTCTGGCGATTGCGTCCTGGTGATGAAGGGGGTCGGCGGCTTCGATCGCATGCGAAAAAAATCGTTAAAAAACCGTTCTTCTCTCGGACAGATCGCTGCGTTGTAAAGGCATAGCCTCTTGGCTTTGCATACGAGTTAATTGATTCGTATAAGGCTTGGCGAGACTCGTAAAAGCCCTCGGGGGGGAGGCAGTCGGCTGCGAAGGTCGCCATTGTGATGGACTGGCGTTGGTGTTGAGAGCTCCTTTTTTTGCGCGGGGTAAATGCTGCGTTAGATGCATTTTTAGATTTATGTAAGCGAATTTCAGGCTTATGTAAGCGCACAGACCTGTGCGCCTAGTGGGAGCCGACCCGTGCGTCTAGTGGGAGCCAGCCTCATCAACCCCAGCGACTCCACACACTTTACAATACAAAGCCAATATTGTCAAGGGATCCCGTTGTCAATCATGGCCGAATACGACCCGAAGAGACAGCCCGAGGCTGTAACCCATCAGCTGCCGCTGCTGGCCGCTGACGGCTCAACCACGCCCGCCTCTCTCGATGTGCCGGCTACCGAATACGAAATCGAGCTCCTATTAACCTCCTACGAAGCCAGCCTGGTCGAGAAGTTTCGCCAAGATATCCGCGTCTGCGAAACCGACATAGAGAAACTCGACAAGTGCATACAGAAGCGGGATGAGCTGCTTGAGGAGAACGACAAGCTGGTCCTCCGGCTGACCGCCTTCGAGCATGTCATGTCAATTGAATGCGTCTGGTATAAAGGCAGGAAAGAGCGTATACGCCAACCAGTAGGCCTGCTGAAGGGGACGAAGGAGAACGGTGCGGAAAAGTGGGACCGATTCGTGGGCGTTGCCAAAGTCGGATTGGACACCATATCGAAGTTGCTCCCGCCCCTTAAGGTAATTAGCTTACAGTGGGGTAAGGATTTCGTTCAACATTACCAGCTGGCCAGCAAAGGGCAGTTTTACTGCAACAAATTCTCAGCAGCTGTAAAACTATACAGCCGCGAGAACGCCATACGGAAGCTGAACCAACTGCTACTTCGACGATTTCGGATGCCCGGGCGTCGCGATATCAAAGCAGGGGTAAACCCCATCGAGCCGGTGGACCTCCAAAACTTGGTGAACTGGAGGGGTGAAGGCCCGTTTGTTAAACGAAATGACCCTAATGGAATTCAGCTGCTGTTTGCGGACCTCACTCACGACGATCTTCCTACCGGCTTCGTTTTTGACCAATTTGGGCTTCTGGTCCGGTGCCCGTCCGACCGTTGGGAAGAAGAAGCTGGCTCTACAGACTCGGGTTTTGACACTGCCGTCGAGGAGATTGTCGATGCGAACCCGGGAGAGGGGGAAACTGGTGGGCTGTTCGCCGCCGTCAACCGAAACAGCGAGGACGCCGGCCTCCCAGATCTGCCCGACGACCTTGCCTATAACGCTTCCTCCCTCCTGTCAACGCCTCTGAGCTCGCCTCCAGATTCTCCTTCCATCGAAGCCCTGTCTAGGGCCTCTATGCCAAGACGAAACGACACGGCCTCGCCCAATGATGGCAACGCTAACGACGACTCGCAACCTATCTCGAATTCCGCAGCAACCGCACGGCTCCGTCCGCGGAGAAAAAAACCAGACTACCACGAAAATCCACAAAGAATCCAAAAACCAACAAATTATCAGCTTAGGTCACTTCCCACAACGGATCTTGGTAAAAAGCGATGCTGTCCACCCGAAATACCGCCAATGCTGCTGGTAGTTCTGGACAGGCTCGATGCCCACGCAGTCAGGCGGTTGCTATTTACATCTACGTTACCTGACGTTCCCTTTCAGGCTATGTGCTACGCACATCTCAAGAAGTTCGTGAAAGCGGTAATCAGTACGGAGCCCTCTGAATGGCTGCTAGGGGCTGAGAACGATCTCTACCCAACTAGCCCCGACAAAGACCCCTACCCCCGACGGCGCCGTGCATCACTCCCTGACCTCGCCGACAGCCCCCCCCTAAAAAGGCTGCGGCTTGATGACCCGGTGCCAGTTCGGAGCTCTCCGTCCGCTCCAAGGCAAGAACAGCCCTTAGGGTATGAACCAATTCGCGATGTTGCCTACCGCCGGCAGGCGCTCGAGGAATTGCAATCGACAGGGCACGAGAAGGGCTCTTGGGGTAAGCGGACAAACGAGTTGGTCTTTCAAATCCTACGCAAGAGCAAGCTACCAACAGATGGGGAAGCATACTTTCTATATGGAGAAGAAGCAGCCCGAAAAGTCGAGTTCGGGCTAGTTAGTATGCCTATCTTCACGCAACGTCAGCAACGGTATCAGTGGGTGGGGAACGATCGCCCGGTTTCGCAGTTTTTCCGCCGCATAGAAGATCTTGGCCTTGATCGGGCCGTATCGGTTCAGGTACCCTCTCGTACTCTACGAGGAGACTCTTATCAGAGAAAAACACTTTTGGAAGTTCGAGACCGGTTCCTCGCACAGCGCCCGACAAATAACCCCTGGAACCTTCTTGATCTTCAGAGCCCGTTACCTTCAGCCCTACCATCCTTTCTAGAAGGAGAGAATTGCCAGCTTCTTCTCCAAGTACGTGATGCGATTCTGATGGGTGGCAGTGCCGAAAGAGTAGTAGCACCTGGGCAAGATTGGAATACATGGCGTAATGTGATTGACTGGGCACTCCTATCTGAGGGAGGACACAGTACAGCACCGCATATGGACAGCCATGGCTACTCAACCTGGATTACGGCTCAGGAGGGGTGCATCGGCTTCGGATGGATGTCCCACCCAAGCCAGCAGGAAGAAGAGGCATGGATGTCCAATCCGTATAGCTGTACCGATGGAGAATGGAAATACGTCGTCCTCTCGCCAGGGCAGACGGTATTTTTCCCGTCCGGTACAATCCACTTTGTTTTCAGAATACGGGGAGCACAGACATTTGCACTAGGTGGCCATATACTTCAATGGTCTGGTATTAACCAATGGCTCCGAGTGGTTATCGCTCAAATCCGAAACCCAGATATCACGAACGAAGATATAGGGTTGAGTGCGTCAAAGTACGTCCACATCATCGAAAGACTCCTGATGAATCGGGTCCGGGCGGGTAGGGAGGAGGAGGTAGGCGGTCAAGATGCGATTGTCAGGTACTCCTCCTTGTGTAAGGCATGTTTGTCTGTTATTCCGTCTGCGAAGGATAATCTAACGATGGTTTAGGAGTTTGAGGCCGCTGCTACGGCACGCTTGCATGCGGCAGATTGAAGACCTTAACGGCGGATGGCTGAATTCTCTGCGCACGCGCATTGCCTTGCATCTCCATGGAGACATCAAAACGATTTGAGGAAGTGATTTGCGGGGAATGCACACCTACCGAGCCCCTATGGTGGACGCCCTACTGTTACAGCTTACACCCAAACGGGTCGGACTGCAAGGTAGGACGCCTGGGGTATTGACAGTGCGGAACAAAGGTTGACACAAGGTCCGGACAGTATGGCCACTGTCACTACAAGTCTAAGAGACCGCGGGAACACGAAACACGGTTGTACAATGGCCATCGATAGTAAATAAGGCCCAGCTATCTCCTAATATTTCTGTCACAATATTGGGATTAGTGAGCAAGAAAGATCTAGAAGCTGCTATGTGATTCTTCGCCACCAGCTTTTGCCACTATTCATAATTATAAAGGAGAGACTTTTGGCCCTGCCAAAGGAACAAGAGATTAGACCTTTTCAGACAATTCAAGCCTTACCTCCCTGCATCAAATGCTTCATTTCCGTTGCCCTGTGAATGCGCGTGGCAATTTCCTTATATATGTCCTGTTGTCACCGCACATTCAACTAATTTGAGACAGGGCTGCAATATGGTCGCTGAATTCGTAGAATCTAAAGCTAAGGAAAGAAAAAGAAGAGAAAGTTCCAAAGGCTGCGCAGGGCGCAGAGAAATAGGTTGAGTTGGTGAGGTTATGCACTGACCACATCCTAAACCAGAATGTCTGGTCGGGGTGTGCCAGCTCTTACCACCTGTCTGGCAACTGCCGTGACAGTCGGGGTTGTGCCAGCTCTTACCACCTGTCTGGCACCTGCCGTGACACCTGTGAGGGCCTGGTCCTCCAGACCTCCAAGACGCTCTGACTAATCAGACGCCAGCCAGGTGGATCCACCCAACTGACCAATGGAAGCTCGACCAGAGCCCCACCTTGAGACGCCCTGGAAGAATCTCGCGAGGGGAGGCTTTTGAGCTCTTTTCCCTTTTCTCTTTAGTTTAGAATCTTCGTCAATAGCGCCCAAATAGAGGAGTTCCGCCCTCATTCCAAGCCGGCCGTGACACCTGGTAACGGAATAATGCCGTCTGCTGAGGTTTACTATATGTGAGGACCCGTCCACCAAACTGGCCCTCAAGCAGCCAGAGCCGCCCAGAACCCCGGGCCTATCAGAAGCCGCCTCGAGGCCCCACCTACCCCACTGATAGATGAAAACTTATTCGCGAGCACGCGACGCGTTGTTGGACTTTTCCTTCTTTCCCTCCTCAGTTTAGAATCTTCGTCGATAGCACCCAATGGACTGAGTTCACCTCAATGCCTTGCCCTGGTCGTGACACTATATATCGCCGCGTTTGCCTATACGGATTATAAGGTATAAGGGAGGACGTTAGGCCGTATGGCGCTTAAACTAACGTGTTTGATAAGCGAGTTGGCCACTTTCCACCACCCTACCACAACTATCGACAATTACACCACCACAACATTAGGAAATAACAATAACTGAACTAGAAATAGATGAATCAGACGATTCTGCAGCCTCCTGACACGTGCGTACATTATGGCCAGTCTTGCCGCACAGACCACAGCACCGAATCTTCGTACGAGCCCCCCTTACACCACGACCATTTGGCCGTGTTTCCTGGACTAACTGCTCATCCACAGCCTTCTGGTCCAGTAAATCCTGTGCCTCTTGTACAGTAAGTGACCCTCCAAGCCGAACACGTGTTTTTTTGGCCCTCCGTCTCTTACTAAGCCCCTCATTGGCCTTACGTAGTAAAGAGACCTCCGTACGCAGAAGAGCCACCTCGTACATTACGGCCATTGTACCTTTGGCCAATTGGTCCACAGCAGCCAGCATAGGTGTTGGAGAACTGCCTTGATGGTTAGATATCCGGCCTTTAATAAGGTCTGTCTGTGAGGTGGCCTCTCGGGGGTTCTGTGGCGTCTGAGGTAGCCAAGGTAGTGCCGTTCCTGGGCTTGAGGCTGGTGGAGTTGGAGTTCGGAGCCGTATATCCATCTTGGAAATCACTCTTTCTGGGTCGTACGGCACAAGGCCGGCTCCGGCAAAGGCGCTTTGGATATTCTTGTCGGTAAAGGAGGTAGAAAATGCCTCTTTAAACGCGCAAAGGAATTCCAACTTGATGTGTGTGATACACATACGCATGAGTTCCTCGATTTGATGGCCGTAAGCCCTCTTCAATGGTCAAAAACAACCAACATCCAATGGTTGGACAAGGTGTGAGGAGTGTGGAGGCATACAAAGCGTAATGATGTCGTGTTCCTGGCAGTAGGCCTCGAATTGGTCGGAGTGGTGGCTCTTATGGCCGTCAAGGATTAGGAGCCGGTATTTGCCTTTCGTACGAGATGTTGTGTGAAGATCGAAATGCCGAATCCAATCTAGGCCTTTCTCATTGGTAGTCCAGCCGTTATCGGTTGTACCGATGTACCAGGTAGTTGGAAGACCGCATTCTCGATACTAGCTCTCTAGGTGATATTTCTCTTTCAAAAGGATAAATGGAGGGATGGCCCAGCCTTGAGCATTTACCTCTTGGATAACCGTATCCCACTCACGATTGCCAGGCTGGACTTTCTTAGCCTTCCCATAGCCATCAGAGGTAGTAATAACCATCCCAGTGGTGATCATACCCATCATAAACCCAGTCTCGTCGAAATTGTACGTATCGTCGTCAAGGATACCGTACTTGGCCTTAGTGTTATACACAAGTGCAAACCACTCACGAATAACCTTTGGATCTTCGCATTTAGCCCTTTGGTAGTCGTATCTACGCGCAAAACGCGCCCGAAGTTCTGGTTGGCGTTTAACGAAGTTGTAGGTCCAACGTTTGCCGACAGGTGGCGCGTCGCGTTCGCGTAGCAGTCGGTTGGCCATATCTTCCACAAAACGATGCCGAGGAGGAAATGCGCGTGTGCATAGCTCAGTAATATACTGAACAATCGTATGCTCCTCTAGATCCGTAAGTTTTCGTGAATTGGCTCGAGTATCGTGTCGTGAAGGTTTGCCAGCGCGTCGGTTCTCCAGAGTATTCTTATTAACCTCGTAGATCTTTGCTGCGGCTCGACTACTGAGATTTGGATTCTTTTGGCGCGCCCCAAGGGCCAAATTTACCCTGGCTTCGTACGAAGGAGTTGCCATGGTTGGTTGCGGAGAAATTTGGTGTTTTGTGCAGGGGAGACGCGTCGTGCCGAAAGTGGCCAACTCGCTTATCATGGCCAACTCGCTTATCAAACACGTTACAGTTAAAATCGTTGCTTAGTGACTCTCGTTACAAAATCGTCACAGCACTGGTTTTCCTAGACCCTCCGCGCGCCCTATGGTACCTCGTATAGCGCTTAATCTAAGCGGCAGCAACAGACACAGTGTCGGAAATAACAGCAGATGCTGGCCAACCTCTCGTTCCCCGCATGTCGATACTCGTGTGCTACTTACTTCGCTCGTTATGTATTTATAGAACTATGGGTAGGACTTACATGCAGCTGGTGGGGTAAAGATTCATCGATCAATCATCTTCGCGGGTTATGCAGACAGGTGGTCGGATGTGGTAGGCAGGGTGTGGATCATTATTGAATGGGCAGCAATGCATGTCAGGTATGCATTGCCGGCCATGCCGGCTTCCGAGGAGTGCCCTATCCAAAAGGAAGCTGGACACAAGGGTTTGCTCGTAGTTGTAACTGGTCACTTCCCACCATTTCGGCCAAGTCGGCGTTTCTTAATCTGCCCTGGCCCTTGGCTGTCTGGTCACAGCTAAGTGTGCTGTAAGATGTTCTACTCAGATAGGTTACTTAGGTAAGACGGTAAAGCCCTTGGTCTGAGGAGTAGGGCAAACTTACTGCTACCATGACCTCCTTTAATCGTGCGACAATTAAAGGGGGAGGGGCTTTTGCGGATGTAAGTGTGTCTGGTATTAGTGCCGTGTTCCCGGAGGCGGACAAGAAATAGAACCTGATAGGCGTTGCGCAGAAGAACAACCCCTTTGCGAAAGCAGCAGCCAATGGCGGAGAGTCGGGCAATGATTCGCCTGCTGTCGGTGATGGGCCGGGACGGATGATCGCCCCGGGCGCCGGTCGCCGGTCGCTGTCGGAGAGATTCAACGTCAAGGTCAACGCTCAGACTGGCGGCGCGACCTGCACGATTCCCATCGAGACCAGCAAGGGACGTATTGGTGCCGGACTGGCGCTGAGTCTCGAATACGGATCCGGGACGGCTACCGCGAATAGCGTCTTCGGCATGGGATGGCGCTTGGCCGGCGTCGACTCCATCACACCCAAAACCCTGACCGTCCCGACCTACGATGATGATCGCGATACTTTTGTCCATTCCAGCCTGGGCGACTTGGTTCCCGCCGAGAGGCCCGTAAAGACTGTCGATGGTTACTAGGTCCGCGAATATTGCGCTCGGTTCGAGACACAGACCACGCGCGTCGAGTACTGGACAAAGCCTTCCGGTCAAGATACGTTTTGGCGAACCATATCCTCAACCAACGTCGTCACCATCTACGGCCGGGGCGACAACGATCAAGTCTTCCACCTTTTAGATGGTCTCAAGAAAGTCTTCTCATGGCTTGCGTCAGAAGAGTATGATAGTCGAGGAAATCATGTTGGGTACGTTTACAAGGCCGAGAATAGCGCGGGCATCCGCCATGATCGCGATGTGTTTGAAAAGGCGCACCCGCCATCGCCACAGCGGTACCTCAAGTCTATCCTGTACGGAAACACGATCCCGAGCCGCTCCATAGACAATTGGAGCAACGTAACTCGGCCTTCCGAGTGGCTGTTTGAGATTATCTTCGACTACGGCGACCACGGGGATGAACGGCCGACTGCCCAAGAGGAGCATGCCTGGGAACTCCGGCCCGACCCTTTCTCCAACTACAATAGCGGCTTCGAGATACGCACTTACCGTCGGTGCCACCGCGTCCTCATGTTTCACCAGTTCCCGTCCGAACTGGGCCGCCAGGACTGCCTGGTTTCTTCGACGTGCTTTGGGTACGAGACGGACAAACGCTCAGGCGCCTCCTTTCTCCAGTCATGTGTCCACAAGGGCCCTACCCCTAAAGGAGAAACCGACTATTGGACGCTCTCACTGCCGCCCGTCGAGCTTTCTTACACGACGGGTCCTCCTTCTCTCGCAGCTCTACCCGTTGAAGAGCTTGATCTACGCATGTCTGGTCTAGACACCCCGGCAGCGCAATGGATCGACCTCAACGGCGAGGGTGCGCCCGGTGTGCTCACGAAGGCCGAGGGCGCAGGATGGTACTACCAGCGGAATCTCGCCCGGGACGGCCATCCGCAGATTGGAGAACCGCTCCCGGTGGCCGTTGCACCGAGCACGGCGCAGTCTGCTGCGACGGGCTGGCATTTCGAGGACATTCGGGGGAACGGGCTGCTAGACGTCGTGGTCGTCACCGCCGACGGCAGCCTCCGCGGCTTTTACGAGCGCGAGGAGGATGGGGGGTGGCTGAACTTTGTCCCTTTCGACTCGTACCCTATGACTGATGATTCAGACGCCTTCCGTTCTATCGACTTAACCGGGAGCGGCCATGCCGACCTGCTGCGGATGACGCCCACAGCCAGCGGGTCTCTTGTTTGGAACCCGTCCCAGGGTCCATTAGGCTTCAGCGCGTCGCAAACCGCTGTTGGAGCGCCGGTTCTGTCTTTGGATGACCCTATGTCGCTGATACAGCTCTGTGACATGTCTAGTGATGGCCCGGCCGACATCGTGGAGATACGTAACAACAGTATCTGCTACTGGCCTAACACAGGCCACGGCACATTCGGATCTAAGGTTGTCATGGGCCACGCCCCTCGCCTGGCGCCGTCTGATCTTTTCTCGCCGCGGCGCATCCGGTCCGCTGACTTGACAGGGTCTGGCACTACCGATCTGATATATGTGCTACCCGAAGGCGGCACAGTGGTCTACTATAACCGCTCTGGGAACGACTGGAGCGATGGGCATACGGTGCCGTCCTTTCATTCGCTTGACGACGCATCCGCTGTTGATGTTTTAGACCTCGGGGCTCAAGGTGGCGCGTGTTTATGTTGGATTTCCGATCGGAACGCCAGCGGGTCAGGGGGCAGCGGGCTCTCGACCGTTCGTTACGTGAATCTCTCCGGGCCGCAGCGTCCCGGCCTTCTCGAGCGTTGGTCGAACGGGCTCGGGCTGGAAACCACGTTTACTTACCGGCCCTCGTCCTCATTCTACGTGGACGACGAGATCCGAGGGACACCCTGGGCGACGAAACTCCCGTTCCCGCTCCTCTGCATCGCCCAGACCGTGACGGTAGACCGCGCCGCCCAAACTTCGTCCACAGCCCGCTATGCCTACCACAATGGCTACTACGACTACGCAGAGAAGGCCTTCCGCGGGTTTCAGATGGTGGAGACGTGGGACGCCGAAGACTTCGATTCTTCGCTGACCGCGTCATCGTTCCAACGCTCTCCGGTGCTTACACGACAGTGGTTCTACGTGGGTCTGGCACGGCTGGACGAGCCGAGCAGCTTGCCGTGGAGCTATGACGTAGGAACATCACGGCATGCTTTGCTAGCGAGCGCCACTATACCATCGTCCGGATCCGACTCGTCGTCGGCAGCCGAGGAAGCGTATCGAGCGCTGGCCGGGCGGGAACGACGGACCGAGGTCTTCAGTGCCGACCCCTCAGACCCTAAGGCTGCATTCCCTTACTTGATCTCTCAGCAGAACTACCAAGTCGCACTGCTACAAGAAGCGCCGCATCGCATAGCGTGCAGGGTTCACCAGCGCGAAGAAATCACGGCGGACTACGAGAGGACGACGTTCAAGAACGATCAGGGGCAATTGGAGCTGTCGCTCGATGATTCCCGCGTCCAGCACCGCCTCACCCTCCAGACGGACAGCTACGGAAATGTCCTCCTGGAAGCTCTTGTGAGTTACGGGAAGCCCTCTAGCCAGCTCCCAGACCCCGACGACCAGCGAAAGCAGAAGGAGACCATCCTTAGCTACACGGAAATGGCTTATACCAATGCCGTCGAAGCCGACAGCTATTTCCAGGCCCCTCTCATTGCTGAAGTCCGAAACTACCGAGTCTTCACAGCCGTCAGCGTACAGGGGCAGGACCGGTATGCGTGGGAGACACTCGCCCAACACGACGCAGGACTGCTGAGGGATGCTGTGGATATTCCCATCGATGTTGATCCGTACGAGCAGATCGCGCACGTCGATCCCAAAGGATACCGTATCCTGCTGGCAGAAGAACGCACCTTGTGCACCTCAACAGATCTGCGTGGACCGCTTCCTGTTAGACAGCTCGACGAGTTCTCCATAGTTCATCAAAAATACCAGAAAGCCTTGACATCAGACCTCCTTCAAAAGGCCTTGGATGGCGCACGACCTGCTATTGATGCACAGACCCTGACCACACAGCTCAAATGCGGCGGGTACGTCGAGCTGGGCGTCGAGAGCGGCACGTGGTGGATTCCATCGTCGCGTGCTGTCTTCGGGGACGACGATCCGGATGGCCGCCTCAAAGACGCCCGTGCTCACTTTTACATACCAGACGGCGAGATCGATGTGTACGGCAATGTTTCAACAAGAGAGTTTGATAAATACTATCTGTTGGTTAGGAGCACCACCAATGCCGTCGGGAGCACGACTTCATTTGACAGCGACTATGCCAGACTCCAGACCGTCATGACCACGGACGCAAACAAGAACAGAGTCCAAACGGCTCTCGATCCACTCGGGCGCAGTATAGGGGCAGCAATCCTGGGGAAAGAGGGGGGCAGCATTGCGAATAGCTTGGATGGATTCCAGAGTGAGATCGACCAAGCAACACTAGAGGCTTTTTTCAACACCCTTTACGGGGAGACAGCGCGTTCCCTGCTCGCCAACGCAAGCCGGCGGACGATATATGACTTTAACTCGTACCAGCAAAGCAGTATATCCAGTGATGAGGCGTCGAGGCCGCCTGCGCGGGTTGCTGAGCTTACCCGTCACGATCACCTCGGAACGGATGCAGGCGCTGCCTCTCGAATCTCTGTACGTATCAAGTACCTGGACGGCACTGGCACAGGTATCCAATCAGCGTTACTATCAAGCGAGCCAGACAAGGACGGGAACACCACGTGGGATTTTACCGGCTGGGTGATCGACAATAACAAGGGACAGCCAGTACAGAAGTTCCAGCCGTTGCGGGCCCCGTCTCACGCCTTCCAGCGTCCGGGCCCCAGCGCGGGGGCGCAACCCGACCTCCCTGCCACGACGCTGCTGCGAGATCCTCTTGGACGGATTGTTGGTATACTATACCCAGACCACAGCTGGTCCAAGACCCGATTCACTCCGTGGACGCAGCTTGAGTACGACGCAGGGAACACGACCGGCATTGCCGACCCAGCAACAGACGAGGACCTGGCCTCACATTTTCAACGGCTCGCCCGGTCTTTATATTTCCCCACGTGGCGCGACAAAACGATGGCCGATGACCCTTCTGCGAAGGGGAGACAAGCAGTGCTCCAATCGGAGGTGTACGCCGACGCCCCTACGGCCACGTACCTGGATGTCCTTGGACGGACCATCTTCACCGAGACCGGCAAGGGCCAGGATATGCGGCACGCTCGCGTGGACTACGACGCGCGGGGCCGGGTTTCTAAAGTTCGGGATGGGCTGGATCGCACAGTCGAGACAGCTCAGTACGACCTCCTCGGCCGGCGACTCCGGAGCAACAACATGGACGGCGGCCGGCGCTGGCTACTCCCCGACTGTGACGGGCTTCCACTCCTATCGTGGTCAGATAGGGGGACACGGACGCGGTTCGAGTACGATGCGCAGCGGCGGGTCAAGAGTGTCTGGACACTGTCCTCGAAGGCCCCGAGAGCCGAGATCGAGGTGGCCAGGAAAATCTACGGCGAGGAGCGACCAGATGCTACGAGCGCCAACTTGCATGGCCAGCTGTACAAGTGCTACGATCAATCCGGGCTGCTTGTCAACTCCAACTTCGACGTCCTGGGCGGCTGCACCGCTTCGACTCGCAGGTACGCGGATGAGTACCGGACCTCGTTGGACTAGTCGGCTACAGAAAATGAGGAGCCGGCGCTTGAGAAGCAAGAGTACACGACCCAGTGTCGGTACAACGCTCTCGGGCTGCCCGTAGAGAATACGTCGCCAGATCTGGGGAGGACACAGCGCGAGTACGATATCGCTGGCCGGCTGAGTGCTCTCGAGTCGTACGATGAGCATGGGTCACAGGCTACCACATCTTCGACGAAGAACATTGAGTACGGCGCGAGCAACAAGATCGTCCGGATCGAGTACGGCGATAAGTCGCGGTCAATAAATGTATACGATGAGCGAATGCAACGCCTCGTGGCCACACGAACCGTGCGCACCACCGACGGGCGAGTGCTACAGGACGTCTCGTATACCTACGATTGTCTAGGCAAGGTCGTTTGGACCGAAAACAGTGCTAGCATGATCATGGACGGCACAGACTCGGTCTCCCCAGCGCAGAAATATCGCTACGACTGCCTTGGCCAACTTACGCAAACCACGGCGTGCATACAGGTCAACCCGGAGTTGAAGCAGCTGCTGCCGTACGGCTCCAAAGATACCGTCGCCGGCAGATCATCAGTCAGGTATACGGAGACGCACACCTACGACAGGGCTGGGAACATGCTGACGATGCGAAATGCCCCCGGCAGCGGGTACTCGGGTTGGACAAGGACGTACACGTACGCAGAGCCGAGCTGCATCCTGGACGGTGAAATGAGCAATCGGCTCACTCGCACCGTTGTGGGCAACGTGACAGAAGAATACCGCTACGACGGCGACGCCGGACGCCACGGTTGCATGACGTCCATCCCGGGCTACTCTCAGCTATCTTGGGACGACAACGACCATCTGCGCGCGCCTTCTCGACCCAGAGAGTGTCGGCAGACGCAATTCCCGAGACGACGTGGTACGTCTACAACGCCGAAGGCACGCGCGTGCGCAAGGTCACCGAGCGGTCATCCAGGGGTATCAGTGGTACAGTCTCGGGGAACAATACTGCCGTTTCTGATAACGGACCTCGGAAGAGCAAGGAGACGCGCTACCTGAGTATGGGCGACATCTTCTCGGTATACCGGGGCAACGGGACCGAGACGTCGCGAACAACTAAAACGCTATGCGTGGGCGATGCTGCCCTGGGTCGTTCTCCAGTCGCCGTGGTGGAACACGCTTCTTCGTCTTCTTCTTCTGGCGGGACGCGGACGCTGACGCGATACCAGCTCAGCGAACAGCTAGAGATCGACGACGGCGCCAAGATGGTGCCGTATCAGGAGTACTCGCCGTACGGCTCGAGCACGTACAGAGCAGCGAACGCCGACGCCCCCCGAGCCTACCGGTTCGCCAGCTATTGGTGGGACACGGAGAGCGGGCTGTATTGTTGTGGGGAGAGGTACTACGCGCCTTGGCTCGGGCGCTGGACATCGACTGATCCCCTGGGCGTGGCGGACGGGCTGAACCTGTTCGCCTACGTGAGGAACGACCCCATCAACTTCGATGACCCCGGAGGCACCACCAAGAGAAAGAAAGGCAACAAGACACCATCAGAGGCCAGTGTCTCCGGGGGTGTTCGAGAACAAGGACCTGCTGCGTCCACGAGCTCTGATAACACTCGGGCCTCTAATACGTCTAGAGACGACCGTATCTACCACAGCGAGCCTCCCCCAGTTGGGAAAAATCTCAAAAGGCTTTGGCGCGCCACCATGGAGATGAGAGGGATTGCATTCGTGCATTTCAAAGTATTGGCTGGTGTCCGCGCGAAATACGCCGGCAACTTCAATTTAGAAGGCGAAAAGGCGTCTTACTGGGCCATGACCCGGGAATCCGCGGAGGCCCATGCGGAACACTTGGTCCACTCGATATGGGGTCCAAGCGAGACTCTGGTGAAGAAGGTGCTCATCTTCATGGACGTTCCGGAAAAGACGCTCAAGCAAGCTGGGTCGAATGTGCTACACCACGGCCTGGGAGTAACTCCGGAGTGGACGCAGGTGAGTGTCCCACGCTATCATAATATATAACATTGCTCCCCAGGTACTTACCTACATACCTACTTTACCTCCCTTACGTGAGCTGCTTATCCCGTGGCGTTCCCTCTCGCTAACACCGCCTGGCCACGGTTACAAGAGGATTAAAACCTACTTCGTCGACGACGAATCGCTCCAGGTCTTTGTCCAGGGGCTGAACGAACAGTCCAGGGTCTCTGAGTCAGGTGAGGAAAAGGGCCTCGAATACGCGGAGGCCGAGAAGCTAATAAGGATAGACGTCGAGAGGATAAGGGGAGAGCGCAGGGCGGAGATCACGATCAGCGCCGAGTCTCCCGTCCTAGAAAATACCAAGACGCCTGCATTTGAGTTGAATAGGCAGATCCAGATGCAAGTCGCCTTCAAGGGCGCAGCGCTGGACAAGCTGACGACGTACAATGCGGGCCTCATGGAGTATAAGAGTCGCAGGTGGTATGGTATGTGTCGCCTGCTATGAAGGTGTGTGCCAACTACCTACTTACCTAGGTAGTATGCAATGGTGTCTGCCGTCATGGGCCGGAGGGGTGGTCTGGGCAACAATGCTCTTCCACATCTGTTTCATTATACAAAACTAGAACACAGCTAACAATGGAATCATGTTGATTTATTTCCTCTTAAAAGAGGTCGAAAACTGTGTACAAAATCTATCTCGTACCTTTTTCACTCCTCGTAGTACCGAACCCTAGCTTGCTCATCCTGCTTCGTTAGTTGGAAATGAGCGGTCCTATCTTGGCATATAACGGCCTCTCTAGTGCACAGTCCTACAAGAGTGGTCAATGTTCCCATTCCATTGTCAGAAGACATTGATCATTCACCAAGCCAATTTTCACATAACAAAGATTCTTCGCCGCCTACACAGGTCAAGGTAGTATTTCTATCCGAAATACGGGCGTCCCGCTTTTAGCAGAGATGTGATGGCTAGCCTGGCGAAACAGGAGATTAATGGACGAGAGGTAAGGGAGCTGCTTTTTGTGCTTAAGCTGCGCTAATAGTCCGGATAGATAAGAAATATTGTGTTCCTTACGCAGTTTATGGCCGAGTATATGGAGGAAGTGATGAGTGAGAAACACCTGAAGGCATTCATTACGGCGAAGTAAGATGTCCACTTGAATTTTTACAGGGCCGGCGCGGTAGAGAATCGACATTCTTACATATAACCGGACAGCAGTGGCGGGCGTTGGTTTCTCGTGGTTGGGTGGAGCACATCTGGATGGGTACTGCACACTCTCTCTTCTCGTTTTCTAGGGCTCAAATTGCCAGTTTTCCTTCTATGCGGCCAGGCAATTGGGACAATAGGATCAAAACAAAGAAAGACGGAGTACCTGAAAATATTCGAAATTAGCGGGACCTGGCAAGACTGGACAAACAATGACATCATGATAGAGGACTGACCTGATCGTTAGTGGGGACGTCCTGCAAGAGGTGCGACGGAAGGCATTCGGCGGTGGAGATTGAGGGGATAGAAACCTGGAGGTTGTGGGGATTGGCGAAAGAAGGACAGGTCGAAGCTATTTATGAATGCCTCAACACATCTCCCTTAAGAACCTAATTACGCAGGGTGGCGATAGGTTGCGATATTGGCCGAACACGACATAGATGCCGCCCACGTTGTAAAAGAAGGCCAGATCAAGAAACAAAGTCTATGTCAGCGATGGACAGTTCCAATATGGGCTAGAAGCATTCAACAGCACTCTGCCCTGTTCTTGCGCGGCTCTGAAGGTAAATGCGCTGAGCGGCCAAAAAGTCGTAAGGTAGAACAGGGTGCTGATTGATAAAGAACGGCAGGACACTGCCGAAGATTAGGGTCGTTCGGCGGGTGATGGCGGGACACATGCTAGTTAAGGTGGTGCGATGTGGACTGTATTTTAGCCTCCTCCCAATCATTTCATGTGGAGTGGCATTGAGAAGTTTATTTTGCGATTGAATGCCACCACCTTAATCCCTATTGGACAAATCCCTGGAATCTGCTCTTACCCAGAGGTGCTAAACTCTAAGAGGACGTGCACGTGATAGCCAATTTCCCTCAAACATCCCGCCGAGTACACTCCACCATTCTGACTCACACGCATCCGTTCAACCAAATTCCGTTTGATCTCCTTGTCACGAAGGAGAGGATTCGACTGGCATAACACGCAGTATAACCGTAACCTGTATTGTGGAATCTAAAGCTAAGGAAGGAAAAAGGTGTTGCGAGGAGCGGGCAAGGCGCGGGGTTCTAGGTATGGTGCGGACCACGTGATAGGTACGCACAGACCACACTCCAGCACTACGTCATTGACACCACGGCACCCGCCGTGACACTCCTCCTAACACTCCACATACTTGAAAATGGACGGCACACGGCCTTCCGGTCATGGACTCACAAGTTTTGATGATGTCATAACCAAAGTTGAGAACCTGCTGGGGAGACTCAAGCAGGCAAGGGCGGCGTTGAAACCTGGAGGCCGAGTCCAGCGTTCCGGTCACGAGACATCGGCTGCCGCAAGAACCCTGACCGATGTCGACGACCAATATTCTGATCCTATGTCCAATGCCCTGAAGAGCATTATCAGCGAAGCAACTCGTCTTCTTGAGGTCCATAATTCAGCCACTTTCCGATCATCGCCAGAAAATCATGGGGACCGGCCTGCCACGTCTGACGACGACGTTCCGACGTTGAACCAACAGCCAGTCGAGGATCCTCAAGTCCCCGTGGAAGAGCGCAGCCAGGCAGTGACAGTTTTGCTGCGTTCCAAAGATGCCAACAAGGGTAATCGCCTAACAGACAAGCCTAGCACCGATTCACCAGCCAATCTGCACCATTCCAGCGCTAGGGTCGAACACGACTTTGAAGAGAACGTTTTAGTTTTGCGGCCCTCAGTGTATCAGTGGCAGGACTTTCCTGCTGTTCTCGCCTCGGCTCGAGCTCTTGACGCAGAAAAGATTGGTGCTTTCAAGGTCGTCGTTTCGCCAGAACTGCAACTGTCTCTCCCACCCAGAGATGAGACAACATCCAGACCCAGGCCTTGCAGAGGGTACCGTGTCCAAGCCTTTCCAAACAAGACTTATCAGATCGAGATGCCGGAAACGCGCCAGGTCTTTCGCCGAACTTTTCCCTGTTCGTTACCGACTCTAGAGGCGGTTCAAGAGCATGAAGCGCTGCTCAACAGCGAGAATGGCCTAGATGGCGTCTATTATCGGACGGATGTTCCGGCGGAGACCTCTCCACAGCGCACTGCGGCAGGCCTCACGGAGGAGAGCATAATTTGGCCACTAAAGGGCAACATGCTGTCGCGGACGAAGTGCTCAATTCCTGGACTCCACTGGCCGTACGCATACGAATCTGGACCCAAGTTTGGTGCATCATTTTCCGAGCACGAGGAGCATTATGGCTTGTATTCAATAAGCCACTTGCACGTAGGGAGGAAGCTGTGGAAAGTCATTCCCCCGTCGGCGGCAGTCGCCTTTATCCAGAAGCTGAAGGAATCAAACACCGAGATAATCTGGAGCTGTGAGCAGTGCGTCCGACACACAGCGGTATTTGTGCCTCCGTCGACATTGACCGACTGGGGCATCCCATACACCATAATCGACCAGAGAGCTTCTGAGGTCGTTGTCACCATGCCGCGGGCCTATCATTCTGGATTCAGCACGGGATATACGCTCGCGGAAGCAGTAAACTATGCCGATGCTGACTGGACACCAAATGGTCATGTTGCCTGTCTTCCTTCCTGTCCTGACAACCCGATTCCGATTGAATTCCTGGAGCTTCTTGGCCCTGAAGAGGCCCAGCGACGGGTGGAAGATCTGGGGAGGGAGGAAGAGGCGAGGGAGCAGCAGGCGAGGAAAGAGACGAAGAAACAAGAGGCGAAGAAGAGATCTAGAAAGCGTCAACCTGTCGATGCTGCGAGACCGTCCGGTAACGGAGACGAGACCGAAGAGAGCGATGCGGACGAAGAGAGGGATGCAGACAAAGAGAGTGATGCGAACGAAGGGAGCAACACGTCTCAAAGTGGGGGGTTCGAGCCTGCGATACCGAATGTCGACATCCAGGACACGGGTGCAGCATCTATGCCAATCTTTTCCGAAGAACCAGCGGAACAAATCACTCAGATGATCGATTACATCCTCGCTCAACGGTTTCCTCCAAAGTGGCTCGGTTGCACAGAGCATGATGAGTCGTTCCGGACGAGGCTCAAACGGTTCCTTCCCGGCGGCTGGCTGGACGGCGTTTTGATGTCGGAAGTATTGCAGATCCTCTACAGAGGCTCGGGCATCTCCGTACAAGATCCGACCAATATGGAGACCGCATTTACGAGACTCGACCAGGACCTGTTACAAGCCTTTGATGCTTTGGTGCTGCTAGTGTACGCTGATAGCTGCGAACAATTGCAGAATCCTGAGACGTAATACAACTGGGCTCTTCTGGTGCTTGATTTGAAGAGGAGCGAGCTAACCTTAATTGGTATGGACCAAGAACATGCCAAGCGTTGGAATATCGTCATGTCCCCAACCAAGCCACCTGTCAGCTCTGTGACAAGACCAAACGGGTCCAGCGTCCGCTGCGTGAACCGACCACCAAGATTCATTATGGGCTTATTGCGTCTGGAGACCAAGTCATGCGGAGCGCCCCGAACGCGGCCGAAATGGATGGGAGGGTGGTTGGCGATGTCCTGTGTTTCGAGATGGAGGCGGCGGACATGGCGACCCAGTACTCGCGCATCGTCGTCCGGGGCGTTTCGAATTACGCAGACTCACACAAGAACGATGCCTGGCAGCATTATGCTGCGGCTGCGGCTGCGGCTGCGGGGTGCGCTAAGGAGCTCCTTTCGTATGTGGACCTGCCGCAGCCTTCCACGACGACAGCAGCCGTCGGTCAGCATGGATTCGACTCGTCTATGGGCAACCGTCCAGCTGCGTAAAAATCTTCCGCGGCCAGGGCGTTCAAAACTCGGGGTCTGGCAATGTCTCCATAGGGAAGGACCTGAACATTGGCAGGATTGATTCATGGTGAAAGGACTCAGACTTTCGGCTATCTGGCATGCCGTTATCTACATCCTGTCGCGGGAATGGCTGGAAGTGATGACCAAGTACTCTCATTTCCAAGCCTGTCAAGGTAGGCTGCCTGTTGCACGCGATCGAAGTTGACAGCGCATTGAATTGTCTGCTCAATAGGTCTAAAAGTACAGAAAAGAACGCTTCCTTATACTAATGGAGAGAAGGCAAGGGAGGCGTTGTAATCAGCCCGAAAGAGGGCATTCCGAATGAAATGAGGACATTCCGAGTCAAGAATGAAGGAAATAACAAAGAATGAAGGAAGCTCAGGCATGTCAACCAGGGCTTGTCCAATTTCATGAAAAGTGGGTCAATTCCAGACGACACTGCCACATCCCTGGTCGCAGCGCTACTGCCACGCAGACTGCGGCGTTCGCGCACGTTGACGAACTCTCCTGGGCGAAACTCGAACCAATCTAACAGATTCGTCAACAGCGCCTTGTTGGGTCGGCAATGTTCCCTTTCGGCAAAGGAGAAAGATTAGATAGCACGGGCCATAAACCCCGCCACAATTCCGCCGCGAATGAGGGAAATAACAAGGACCCATCCAGCGACACCGCCTTTGCCGTTCTGCCATGACATCAGGGCCGTGCGTTCTTGTGCAAGCAATCGGCAAGCCGAGAACAACCTCCCATCACGACTTCCGGTCACGTAGACGCCAGAACGCCGGTTACGGAAGCGAATCGCGCGTGCGACACCACAGGCCAGCATTGGGACGACGTCGTCGGCACGGTTTTAGCTGGGAGGCGGACGCTTTCTGGGGTGCTGTAACCACACACTTCACGTTATCTGGCCAGTCAATCGCTCACGATCTGTTACACCTTTTTCACGCCGCCGCGCCGCCGTGCTAAAGATGAGGCGATGCTTATTGTTATGATAGTTGGAGCCCACCCCCCTCCCCTTCTTTTCTTAACTACATGGACTGACAACCAGCACCTCTTCGTAGTACGAACGTTCACCTTGAGAAGCGCGAAGACGACGGTTATCCCGGCATACCGCGACGGCCGACCCGACACGGTACGAGACTCAAAGCCACGACTAGCTCGGGTGGGCTGGCGATCACGGGCCTAATACAAGTGGATACTGCGACTGAAGAGCCGGAGGGGAACCGCTCGCGACGGCGATCTCGACGTCATCTGCGGCAAGCGCCAGGCGTGACTGTATCATCGGACCTGTTATCACCCCACCCGGGAAGAATGGCCACACACCAAGTCATCCGCCAGCAACGGCCGGTAGGTCATGCCGTTCAACGACGACGACGACGCTAAACGTTGGGGGGGGACCACAATCACGGCCCAGTTCTCGTCCCAGCCAAATTTTGGTCAACCGCTGCCGGCCACACCGGTACGGCTTCGTTCTTATGCCACCTGCTTCTCGGTCTCGGCGGCTTTTACTAGACGATGCGACGGAACTTGTACGCCAGACGGTGGCGCTGGCGCAGCTTTTGATGTGCGATCGAGGTGCCCCCAAGGCCAGTTGGAAGTATCGAGGCTCTGGCGGCGCTCACCATACTGCGAAGCAGATTAGTTCTTGAGGGTCAAATCTACAAAGGCAAGCTACGGCCCACACAATGGTTAGCCGACATGAGCCAGGCAGGCAAGAGCGAGGGCCTCGATATCAGCATCACCATGGACAACCAGCTCCTAGAGCAGCTCTTCATCTCCCGAGTGCGCCCAGGCCGCCGACTTCGCAAGCAAACTCGGCCCGCCCCAGATCGGCTCCAAAAAGACAAGCGGCAGCGGCAGCAACAATGAACTCTTGGTCACGCCGTGGCATCCTCACCAGAGTCTGGTAAACGATTGACGATATCTCGTCCTTTGAGCCGTACGGCGTCATGAAACCCAGTCAAGCGCCATTGGGTAGGCCGAGACGTTAAGCCGACGCCAAAGTCGACGAGAGCGACAAGCTCAAGGGGCTCGAGAAGAACTTTGACAAGTGCTAAGCGCCCGTCGTTAAACTTGTTAAACAATCACAGGAACCTAGACTGATAGCTCATTTTAGAGTTATATAATTATCCGTATATAGTTGTCCGTGATTGATCGTTAAATCCATTCCACTTGTCGTCGCCCGCCAAACCATTCCACTAGTTATCATCCTTCTTAACGTCATTATCATCCGAGACATCTTGGTCCCACTGGATATCGACATCGCCATCTTCATCGCTAGATAACTCAACCCTAATGTCCCTCCACGGATGGCAGCTTCCCAGTACGAGAAACGCACTTAAATCTTCGCTTGATAATATCCTCCCAGGATATGTCTGAGGGTTCCTGAGGCTCGGGATCCTCGTACCCATCCACGGTGGGCCACCAAATCCATCTAGCTTCATACTGATCTTGATTTGTAAGATAGACCGGCCAACCCTGTACACGCCACTCCGCCCAAGTCAACGAGCAAAAACTAGAAGCACTCGTCATGCAGCTAGTATAGATACTTCCATCACCAACGACCAAGTCCTTCTCGAACCACGGATCTTGCTCAAGCTTGGCTCTGTAGTCCTTCATCCGTGCAGCTCGAGCTGGCCCGAAGCCTCCATTCACTCCTACCTCTCCAATACCGTCATATGCCAAGACTAGGCGCTCGCCCTTCTGCGCATATACCGCGATCTAAATGCCGTCGGCACCTCGGTGGAAGATAGCAGCCTTCTCCGCGGTGGAAGAGATGGGATGTGAGGCAAGATCTAGGGTAATGGAGGGGATAGCTGCTAGGTGGTTGAGGAGTTTGAGAAATAGGCACGCAATGGAACAGGATGAGCAGGGCAAGTGTGCTAGGATGCTTATATTTTGGGTTTAGTTGAGGGAAGGAGCTTGTTCGTGTGCTACGGTCTCGTGCCTGCCATAAAAAGTTGTCTAGATTGAAGGAAAGAGCTTGCTCCTGTAGTGAAGGACTCGTGCCTGCCATAGAAAAATGCAATGAAGTGTGAGGGTCAGGGTTAGAAGGACAGCCAGGCACCAGAGGGAAAGGTCGCAGTTATACCAATGCACAGCACGGCGTCTCCGGTCGTCTTGGTGCCGATTCATGGCTAAGCAGCGGCAATCTCGTATCTGTATGAAGTTCTAGAGAACACAATTGACTTTAAGTCAGCTTGTGGCTACTAACAGCTCCTGAAAAATCATGTCATCGACTATGCATTGGGCATTAGGAACATGAGCGTCTCTTTGAGAACGAACTAACAAATAGCACTAACTCTTAGATGAAACCGCTAGCTAACAATCGACTCGTATCGCAACTCCAGGTTTCTTATGGCAGCCTTATAGGTGGAGCGCATTCGTGCCCGGACAGCGTCAAAGGCATGAACTACGCCCTTACAAGTATGCCAACGGGGTGGTGTCTCGAACCAACGCGTGGTTTGGAGCTAATTGCGGTCGGTAACGATTGGGATGATGAGAAATAGATGGCTGTATATCTTGACGAATCACTGAGCGGAGCCGAAATTGGGGCCGACAAAGCAATCTAGTACCCGGAGTCCATAATGCCTTTACTCTCCTAGCTCGCTAATGAAGACAATCACTAAGACTCTGTCCGCTTAGACAGGCTTGAATAGACTTCTCATACCTAAGCAACTCCTCTAGCCTTTCTGTCTCGCTAACTATTGTCGACTTCCTAATAGACCCGGACCTTCGCTCAACCAAAGCATCGCAGTGTATTAGATGAACAGTAACGCCACAGCCTCGACTGAAATTGTGCAGTTAGAACCACGTGAGCCATGCGCGCGGAGCTCAATTTGTTATACACGACCTTTCCTTCATGATATTATCAAATCCCTAACTATTGTTAGTCCACTCATTACTCTGCTCATTACAGACATGACAGCTAACTCACCTTCAGTAAGGAGAAGAACTTGGCAGTTGTGTCTCGATCACCTGCCCCCCCCGCTCTTCCCGCTCGGATTCGGTTTTCCAGAAGCTCTTTGACGATGCAAACGTACTTTGAAGAGCTAGGTTGCATATCCTCGTTCGTGATTTCCGGGGTTTTCATCTGAGTGACGACCACTTCAAGCCAACGACCAACTCCAGACCACTGAAGTATATGGCCACCCAGCGCAAACGTCTGTTCCCCTTGTACCCGAAAGACAAAGTGGATGGTGCCGGAGGGAAAAAATACTGTATGCCCAGGTGAAAGGACGAAGTATCTCCAATCTCCTCCTGTAAAGTTATGTGGATCGGACATCCACGCCTCTTCTTCCTGCTGTCTTGGTCGGGACATCCACCCGAAGCCCACACGCCCTTCCTGAACCGTAATCCAGGTCGAGTAACCGTGGCTATCCATATGCGGTGCCGTATTATGGCCCCCTTCTGACAGGAGCGCCCAGTCTGTAACATTACGCCAAGTGTTCCAATCTTGGGCGGGCGCCGCTATCCTTTCGGCACTGTTGCCCATCAGAACTGCATCGCGTATTCGGAGGAGAAGCTGACAATTCTCTCCTTCCAAGAAAGATGGCAGGGCTGAAGGTATCGGGCTTTGAAGGTCGAGAAGATTCCAGGGGTTATTTGTCAACCGCTGCAGAAGGAACCGGTCTCGGACATCCAGAAGTGTTTTCCTTTCGCAAGATGCCTTATGTAGGGGGTGAGAGGGTATTTGAACAGACACGGTTCGATTAAGCCCGATATCTTCCATACGGTTGAAGAACTGTGAAACTGGGCGGTCCTTTCCCCTCCATTGAAATGGCTGTTGACTTTGCGTGAAGATCGGTATGCCCACTCGCCCCAACTCGGCCTGTTGGAATGCCCCCTCTCCGTTGAGAAAGTATGCTTCCCCACGTATTGGTGGTTTGCTCTTTTGGAGAATTTGGGCGACTAAATCGTTTGTTCTCCTACCCCATGAGTCGAGACCGTCCTCTGCGGATTGGAATTCTTCTAGCACTCGCTGGCGGTAGGCTTCGTCGCGAATTGGATCTTGTGTTGGGCAGCACCCTTGGTTCAAGACAGTGGGTAGAGAGTTCTGAATCGGTGCCGGGTCATTAAGCCGAAGCCTTTTTAGGGGGGTATTGTCGAGGATGTCCGGAAGCGAAGTGCGGCGCCGTCGGAGATGGGACCCTTCGTCAGGGCTAAACATTCGAAATCCCTCCTTGGCCTCTAATGGCCGTTCAAAGGGCTCCGCGTTGGTTGCTATCTCTGCGAACTTCTTAAGATGTGTATGACACATATCCTGAAAGCGAATGTGAGGCGGCGTGAATGTTAGCAGCCGCCGGACTCCATGGACATCTGATTTGTCTAGTGTGGCTAGGAGTGATGGTGGTATTTGAGGCGGACAGCATCGCTCCTTGGGCAACTTTATTGGATTTGGCAGCCTAGTTTGACGAATTGTGGGCTTGGAGTTCCTTGGTGGCACTTCGTAGTAATCTGGTTTTTCCTTTTGCGGGCGGAGCCGTGCAGCAGCTGTGGTATTTATGTTAGGTTGGGGACTACCATCATTGCAGCTTTCGGTAGCGCTGCCGCTCGCTTGGCCATTAAGTAGCCTTTCTTGTAAGGAGGGAGTCTGCTTGGATGGTATGTTTCCAGGAATAGGGTAGTCCTCGGCGTTACTATCGCCAGGCGGGGTCATGTCGGTCAGTCCAGGTGTAGAATCCCTGAAGAGAATTTCTGCAACAAGGGAATCTGGTGGCGAACTTAAGGGTGTTGATAATCGGTGGGTCCTAGGAGATGTAAGGTCAATATTGTTAAGTGGCTCTGTGGTGCTAGTATCCTTGTCGTTCTTGTTGGTGGATAGCTTGCTGGATTCCGTGTCTACCGGAGTCGTATCGATGATCTCTCCAGTGACAGTGTCTGAATCCACTGGGTCCGCTCCTGCCAAAGGTTCAAACGGGCGCCGAACCAGAAGCCCAAATCGATCGAAAATGAAGCCGGGAGGAAGATCTTTAGAAGTGAGGTCCACGAACGGTAGCTGGACCTCACTAGGGTCGCCATCTTTGATAAATGGGGCTTCGTCCCTCCAAGTAGCCAGGTTCTGCAAATCCACTGGCTCAATGGGGTTCACCCCTACCCTGACACCACGACGCCCCGGTATCTAAAACCGTCGAAGGAGCAGTTGGTTTAGCTTCCGCACACCGTTCTCCAGGGTATGCAATTTCACCGCCGCTGAGAACTTGTTGCAGTAGTTCTGCCCCTTGCCGGCCAACTGGTAATGCTGGACGAAATCCTTGCCCCACTGTAGGCTAACCATCTTCAAGGGTGGGAGGAGTTTGGATATAGCGTCGGATCCAACCGCGGCAGCCCCTACAAATCGGTCCCACTTTGCTGCGCCGTCCCCTGTCACTATTCTCCCCGGCGGAGTCGCTAGCGGGCGTGCACGCTCTTTCCTTCCTCTGTACGAGGTGCATTCGACCGACATGACATTTTCGAAGGCGGTTAGCCGGAGGATGAACCCATCGTTTTCCTCCAGCAGCTCATCTCGCTTTTGTATACACTTGCCGAATTTCTGTGTGTCGGTTTCACAGAGGCGGATTTCTTGGCGAAATGTCTCGACCAGCTTGGCTTCGCTGCGGGGTAAGAGAAGCTCAACTTCGTATTCCACGCTTGGAACATCGGATGAGACAGGTGCCGTTGAGGCGTCTCGGACCGTAGCCTCGGGCTCCATACGTAGGTCGCGTTCAGGCATAGTGGATATTGTACATTAGTATTGACGAGTGATCGTCGCAAAGCTATCCTGGGCGTTGAATGAGGCTGCGCCAGGCATTTAACTGTCGAACCTAGCAACGCCCGACCTAACCCCGCGGTTGACCCACAGCGACTCGTCAGAATTCTAACGAGTCACTGTGGGTCTTGTATGTGCGTCCTGATTGGCTGATAAATGAAAATGGGAGACAGCTGGGTGAATCTCCGCATCACCCAGTCACGTGCGGCATGTCTTTTTAGCTGCCCGGCAAGAGCCTCACAATTGAGAAATATTTATTCCGAACTGCCCTGTATGTTCCAGAAAAGTTAGACCTAGTGCTTCACTCACTTTAGCTAGTTATAAGCCCCGACCACAGTGGCTTGCGCTGAAGCCCATCTTTATCCTTTGGCCAAATTATCCTCACGGGCATTGCACATTCTAGATAAACCCCCTGAAGACCTAACTATAGACCGTCATCAGCACCTCTGCAAATCACCAGAATCGCGCTCCTGAAGGCTCACCTAGGGGACGATCGCTCATACACCTCTATCGAGATCGTGGGGAATCCTCGCTGTGACCTGACGTATTTTGTTAGTACTGATGTTAGCGCCTGAAGATTCCACAAGATCATGACCCCTCCAAGCTCGCATGTGGCAAATGCGGGACATTGGAGAAGATTACGCCGTACAGGCTATTTACCTGGGATTGTGGGTACTCTTAGGGTCATGTACCTGGGAGAGGTCTTGTGCAGTGGCTTGTGTATGTAGAACACTGGTGTCATAGAAAATGAGAGGTATTTGGTACATCGAAGATCAAAAGCTTGAGCATGAGTGGCTTTGCGCCTTTGCCTGTGGTGAGTTTCTACTAGCTGAACCCAAATCCCCTTTGTGTGGGGCCCGAGAGTCTTGCGTGTCCCCGCTCCCCCAAAGGTCCCTTATGCAACAAGCCATTGGGCCGTGGGGTGCTCGCGGTGGGCGGGATCGCCCAGTCCGCCTTGTAGCCCGTGCAGAAGACGACGGCGTCGACGTCGTCGATGGTGCGCCCGTCTTCGAACTCGATGCTGCGCGGGCCGAGGAATTCCTTCAGCCCGGACAGCAACTCCATATTACAAACCACTCGACTGTTAGGGTCGTCTGTCTGTAAGGGAGCACGGGCTCCACAGAATGCTGGGGTTGGTAATTATAAAGATAGAACAAAGGGCAAGCTCCTATCGCACGGGTAATACAGTCAAATCGGAATGCCACTCAAAGTGTATGAGTGCAGTGAATGTGTATTGCTTGCTTGAAGAACCAAGCAAGAACTATCTGAGACCGTGGCTACGGTCGTCGTATATATCTATCTAAGGCGGACCAATCAGAGAGTTGGTCCTAGGTGATCAGTGAGCTCAGTGCGGTCAGTGTGCTCAGTGCGATCAGTTCCCTCACTGATCGCCCTGACCATGCTGATCATACTGACCGCCCCGTTATTGGTTGCACTTGAGCGAAGCGGGGAACTACCCCACTTCCTTGCGTCAGCCAATAGTGGGAGGCTCCGTGCAGCCTCCTGCGCGCCTCTGCGCGCCTGCGTTGGCCTCGCCCACTATAAGTAATAGTTATCTTTCCTATCTCTGACTGGCTCAACTGACGGGCGGGGTCCCCAGTCGTGCCTGACTGGCTTGGCTGTTATGCCACACCCAGTTCGAGTCGAACTGCTTGATGCGCGCCCGCTGATTGGTCGCCCAAAACCCGTGCACGGACGAATTTGAGTCGAACTGGTTCAAGATTTGCTGTCAACCAGTTCGACTTTTTCACCGGAAAAACGACGGGCAAAATCCGCTGCACGCACGTAGAATGACTAAACCAAGCATGCCGATCTCGAATCCGCCGTCCATTTTCTCCGTAGATGTACGGTTGGCCGTGCATTGACGATTTAGGTCAGAAGGGTGTGTTTTTGGCGACGGTGACGCACGGGCCAAGCGGCCGACTCACGGGCCAAGCGGCCGACAAGAAGTCGATCCGAGTCGAACTCGGTGCCCCAACCAGTTCGAGTCGAACTGCTTGATGGGCTGCCGCTGATTGGTCGAACTGGTGGAGGATTGAGCCCGTCAAACAGTTCGACTTTTTGATAGGGAAAACGATGGGTAAAAGTGGCAGCGTGCATGTAGATTGACTAAATCGAGTGCGGCAATATCGAATCCACCGTCCATTTGCTCCGTAGACGTACGGTTGGTTGTGCATCGACGATTTAAAGGTCAGAGGGTGTTTTTTTGGTGATGGTGATGCACGGGCCAAGCGGCCACAAGAAGCTGACCCGAGTCGGACTCGGTGCCCCAACCAGTTCGAGTCGAACTGCTTGATGGGCCACCGCTGATTGGTCGAATTGGGTGAGGATTGAGCGCGTCAATCAGTTCGACTTTTTGATAGGGAAAACGATGAGCAAAAGTGGCTACGCGCACGTAGATTGACCAAATCGAGTGTGGCAATATCGAATCCGCTGTCCATTTGCCCCGTAGACGTACGGTTGGTTGTGCATCGACGATTCAAAGGTCAGAAGGTGTGTTTTTGGTGATGGTGATACACGGGCCAAGCGGCTGATAAGAAGTCGACCCCAGTCAAACTTGGTGCCCCAAGCAGTTCGAGTCGAACTGCTTGATGGGCCGCCGCTGATTGGTCGAACTGGTGGAGGATTGAGCCCGTCAATCAGTTCGACTTTTTGATAGGGAAAACGATGGGCAAAAGTCGCTGCGCGCACGTAGATTGACCAAAACGAGTGCGGCAATATCAAATCCACCGTCCATTTTCCCCGTAGACATACGGTTGGTCGTGCATCGACGATTCAAGGTCAGAAGGTGTGTTTCTGGCGACGGTGACGCACGGGCCAAGCGGCCGACAAGAAGTCGATCCGAGTCGAACTCGGTGCCCCAAGCAGTTCGAGTCGAACTGCTTGATGGGCCGCCGCTGATTGGTCGGTTGATTCGAGGTGCACGGACCAAGTCAAGTCCAACTGCTCGAGCATCCGGCTGTCAATTAGTTTGAGTTGTCAGGAAGGGAGATAATGGTTAAAACCCGCTGCGCGTAGGTAGACCGGTCGAACCCAAGGCCGCGATGTTAAACACATGGTTCATTGGCCCCGTAGACATATGGTTGGTTATGCACGAGTAGGTTCAGCGACAGTAATGCACGAGCCAAGTAGTTGACCATTTGAAAACATACAGGGAAGCGGGAAAAAAAGCAAAGAAAGGGGAAATGAAGGGAAAAAAACCCCCCAAAAAAACCAACCACCCCCCGGCGAAATAAAAGGTGAGATTTCAAGAAAGGAAGGTAAAAGGAAAATAGAAAATCAATTCAATACCAACCAACCGACCACGTACCCACCAATTCAGGTTATTCGGCATTTAAACGGAATTATGGAGTTGTTTAATAACTTGTTTATACATTCCCCCGATTACCGTTTGGCGATTTGCCGCGAACATCGTAGTGCGGTAACGGCAGGATCGATCGCGTATCACGTCCATTCGCAACACCGCCATATAGCCAAGAAAGTGCGCCAACGCATCGTCGAGGAGGCGGGCGAGTTAGAGAAGGGTGGCACGTTGGCGGCCGACGTCCATGGGATCCAGTTCCCGGCCGGAGTTGTGCCAGCGATCAGGCCGTTGCCCGTTTGGAGCGATGGCAAGAAGTGCATGCGGTGCGGACACATCCGGCGGACCAAGCAAGATATTCAGAAGCATTGCCGAGACGAGCATGGATGGGTCAACCCGCGGGGGCAGGGCGGGAAAGCCGGGGCGAGAGCAGCAGGCGGCATGGGCGAGGTGTGGGTAGACGGCGTGTATTGCCAGCGGTTCGGGCAAACAGGAGCATTGCAGCGTTTGTTCGAGGTTGTGCCGGCGGCCGATACGGAGGGCGGGGTCGGCAGGGGAAGCGGCCCAGTCGGCACCACGGGGTATAAGGTGATTATGACGCAGTTTGAAGAGTTGGCCAAGGCAATAGAGGAAGGGGACAAGAAAGCGGCAGCATTGATCCACGACCAGCCCAGGTTGTCAGCCAATATGTGGATCCGGCGGACGGGTTGGCCCCGGCATTTACGAGGGTTCGATCGCGAGTGGTTGGCAGGAACGACGCGGCGGCCAGACCCAGACGGTGGACAAAACGCAGACGGCGACAAAAGGGGGGGTGTAGAGGGGGGCGGGGACGAAGCAGGCGATGAAGTAGGCGACGAAGCAGGCGACGAAGCAGGCGACGAAGCAGGCGACGAAGCAGGCGGGGAGGGGGAAACCCAGGGAGAAGCAGGTAGGGACGAAGCAACCCGAGAAAAAGCGTTGGCCAGGGTATTATTGGCCATCGAGAGGGTAATTTGGCGGGCACAAAAAGCATCGCGGGCCGAGGTGGTCGGGTCGGCCGCAATGAATTATATCGAGAGGCGGGAAGCCGGGGGGCAGTCGAACGAGAAGCCGTTCAATTCGGGCCAGAAAGGCCAAACGATGGAGCGGTATAGCGAGTCGTGGAAATCGATAATGGCGTACGTGTGGCGGACGCAGCATTTAGCAGTGGCCGAGGAAGGAGAGGCCGAGGGAGAGGAGGGAGAGGAGGGAGACGAGGGAGACGAGGGAGACGAGGGAGAGGAGGGAGAGGAGGGAGAGGCCGAGGGAGAGGAGGGCGAAGCGATAGACGCGCGGGAACAAAATGATAATACAGGTTCCACAGACGCCAGCCAAGAAGGGGGAATCCGCAACAAACGACCGGCATACCATTTAACGCAACGCCAAGCAGACAAGTTCACGCAATTGCAAGAAGCCGCGTATATAGCGACAATGGCGCATATGCGGTTAGAGGAAGACAGCAACGGCGACGGCGACGAAGAAGAAGACGAAGACGGCGACGATACGCAACAGTTGGAGCGTTGCGTATTAGCATTTTTCATTTCATTATTAGACCATGATGTGGGCGACAACGAGTATCAGAACGCATTATACAGCGGGTTGGCCGTGTTGGGGATCCACGTCGGGCACGGTTGGAAGAGCGCGTTGATATATACGCCCACGTTGTCGGCAATCGTGACGGTGGCCCGTATGTTGGTATTATATACGGCCAAGCGGGGGCGTGAGGAGGAAATCCAGAACAGGATCCGGGCGAGCGGCGAGAGCGAGCAAGAGGCGAGGCGCAAGGCGCGGAGCCATTTTGACCGCGTCCAGGGGATGGTGCAGCGTTTCATGACCATCATAGCGTATAATGGCCGGCCGTCGCCAATGGATTCGATATTGCGGTTGCGGGCGTACGGCAAAGCGATCCGGGCAAACACAAACGCAGACGGCGTGGTGGATTGGCACGGGGACGAGTTGTTATACGGGCATGTGCAGATCAGCATGTCGTCGTTGCGGATGATGATACACGGGTTGTTGCACACGGCAAGGGCACAG